TTAATACATCAGAGGTACCAATGAGGAGCTCGATGTCAGTTATATGAATTTTTCTATGCAAAATATGAGTCAAGTGAATGCAGAAATCTGACCAAAAATTCTTAACAACATGACATTCGATATACACATGAAAAACATTTTCTTTGTGAGTATGACACATAGAACACTCATCGTTATCAATAAGTTTCCTTCTTAATAACTCACGTTTAGTAAATATTACTTTATGAATAAATCTAAACTGGAGTTTTGTGTCCCTTAACCCATGGCAATATACACTGAATATTTGTTTCCATGGAAAAGAACATCCTAGCTGATTTTCCCATTTCAAACAAGATTTAGGGAGAGGGAGGGAATTCCCTATCAGTTTATTATAAAAAAAACCTTTTGTTCCTTTAATAGAACGCGTAAGATGATAAATCCAAGGAGATACAGTGAGGTTAGAGGAGGAATGTAGATTTTTATCAATATTTTGTCTCCAACTTCTTGGAATATTAAAAAACATACAGTTATAGTCGAGAAAAGTTCCCTTAAGATCATAAAGTTGTTGTAAACTTGGGAAAGGGATCCATCCGTTTTCATGATACAAGTCTTTTATCATAACTATACCTTTTTTAAACCAGTCATTAAAAAATAATACTGGATCTCTAAAATAATGGTTTAACCATAAGGGTGGGAAGTAATTTCTGCTTTTTTTAAGTCTTCAATGTGATGTGAATGCATAAAGTCACTCCAAGCTATAAGGGTATTTTTCCAGAAAGGATTTACAATTTCCCGATTCTTGTGCAAACTGGCACCTAAAGTGTAGATATGAACTAGCTGAAAACTAGCAAGACCATAATTAATGTTTTTTTCGCAATATCTTTTAAAACATCAAATTTTCAGAGATGATATAATTTTTTTAATCCACCTTGACTATAATTCCTCTTTAAATAATCCCTCTTAATCTTATCTCTTTTTCCACTCCAAATAAAGTTAAAAATAATTCTATTCATTTGATCAATAAAATTTTTTGATGGATTTGGGAGAGCCGAAAAAATATGTACAAGGGTAGAGATAATTAAAGTCTTAACAACTGTTATTTTACCCACCAAAGTCAAATTCCGTTTTTTCCATTTGCTTATAATACCATAGATATTATCCAGGCGTTTTTTAGTGTTGATTACCCAAAGCTCTTTTAAGTCAACATTAAAACATATGCCTAAAACTTCAAAGTTAGGACAAAATCGGACTTTACTACTAGCCATACTGCCTATCCATATTGTTTGGTTTTTTCAAAGTTCATTTTTAATCCTGAGATTTTGTAAAAGTTTCAAGTGTATCCATGGCTGATTTTAGTGATTTTTCCGAGCCATCTAAAAGAGTGTCGGGTGTCGTCAGCTTATTGGCCCAATGTGTGTTCAATATCGTGTAGAGTATAAGTATACCTTTTATATCTTCATTTATACGAATCACGATGCCAAGAATGTCAGCCACGAAAAGAAACAAATAGGGGGAAATTGGGTCACCCTGTCTGCATACTCTTTCATTCCAAAAAAATTCAGAGAGGTGGCCATTTTGGACAATACAAGAAGAGACATTAGATATGAGTATCTGTATCCACTTAATCATATTTGGCCCAAAGCCAAATTTCTCCAGAAAGAGGAAAAATAAAATCTTTATTCACGGTGTCGAATGCTTTCTCAAAATCAATGAGTATCAACTTTTTGTCAAGTCTCTTAGTTTCAAAAATGATATTGTAAAGTAATCTAGTATTTTCACTTAAACATCTACCAGGGATAAATCCTGATTGATTACAATGAATTAATTTGTTTAAGGATTGCTTGATTCTATTAGTAATACAAGAGCTTAAATTCTTATATACAGCATTTAATAAAGTAATGGGACGCCAATTTTATAATCTTTTTCTATCTTTATTTGCTTTTGGAATGCAAGTAATCACGCCCCCGTTCATAGTAAAAGTCAAAGAGTTAGAATGATAAGCGTGATTAAAGTATCTCCAAACTCTTAAATCTTTCCAGAAAAATTTAAAGAAATCAATTGGGAAGCCATCAAGACCTGGGCTTTTATTATTGTTCATTGCAAGTGTAGCCTTACCAATTTCATTTAAGGATAACGGCTGTTCAAAAGCCTGTTGCATATCATTCTCTAGTTTTGGAATTGGAATATTGTTTAACATCAGGCTTGGATCAGTATCTACTGAACTATTTTTTTGGTTCAAGTTTCTATAAAATGATTCTTGTTCTTTAATGATGAGCGTTGTATCATTCAGTTCCTCACCATCATTATTGATCAAGGAGGAGATGATATTATTTGTAAAAATTCTATTTTCAAGACGACAAAAGTATTTAGTTGGTTTCTCTCCCTCCTCATACCATTGTAATCTCTTATTAAACGCATTTATCTTGCTTTCTTCTTTAATTTTTTCACATAATTCACTTAAAGCTTCTTCAGAAATATTTTGAAAATCCTCTCTAATTTTATTTTCATATTGGTTTATATCTTTTTCTAAATCGCCCAATTTCTTTCCTCTTTTCTTTTTCAAATATGAGGAAAAAGAGATTGTTTTACCTCGCAAATTCATTAAAAAGGTTTCCAAGAATAGGGAATCAGGTAGATTCAGTTTTAAATCCAAATCATCAAAAGGAGCAGAATGGTCTGATCTATAAGATGGATCAACATATTCTTGTTTTGTTTCATCCAAAACTGTCGTAACCATATCCACATATTGTTTATTTCTTAAAAGGGAAGTATTAAATATAAAATATCCACGGCCCCTATTATTTATCAGAGAAAACTTTTAGGCATAAAGAGATAGCCGAATGGTCAGATTTATATAACCTGGGAGAATGTCAGCAGCAGAGGATAGGTTTAAAATATCTTGACTAACCAAAAAGAAGTCTAGCCTAGCTTGCTCTCTGGGTTTATGTTTTCACCATGTAAATGTTCTAACATCTCCAGTCTGTTCACGCCAATTAGGTTAAACTGAGATAAATAATCTAAACCCGTTTTTCTAGCTTTTGGGTTGTTAATATTTTTATAGCTTTCCAGATCTAGAGATTGATCAAGAATGAGATTCCAATCCCCACAAATTATAATCGATTCATTATCAAGTCCATCAATGGCATTAAAGATATCATGATAAAATTTTGGGAGATCAGAATTCGGCCCATATATAGTAGCTAAGGTCAGTCTTATTCCTTTAATGGTTATATAAGCAATTATAAAATTTCCACAATCATCTTTCATAACCTTTTGAATAGACATTTCAATGGAATTAAAAAGAATAGCCCCAGTCATTCCTAAAAATGTGTACTTGATTTTTATCTGTATGGATATCTTGAAGGCAGACGACATCAAAACTTCGTTTGCACCAAATATTAAAAACCTCTTTTCTTTTTAGTTTATCAGCTAATCCTCTGCAGTTTGCAGATAGCAAGGATAGTTCAGATTGTATTGACATTGTATATTGGAGTTATATAATAATATATATACAAGGGATACATACCTTGGACAGAATTTTATGGATAACAACTTCTTTAATACTGTAAAAAGCGACGTTTCGGTATAGATCCTTATACCGTTGTCAAGCAAGACTGAATGAGGAGAGAGATAGATATTTGGAGATTTTACGAGCGCTTCAGCCTCTGGCTATTTCGCACTTGGAGGATTAACAGTAGAGAATGATTAACAGTAACAACACCTACCTATGTTATCCCACTCATGTATGCCCTTGTTGTTACTGTTAATCCTCTACTGTTAATCCTCTACTGTTAATCCTCCACTTGCTATATATATTCTGCACTATGTCCCTCATTCAGTCTTGCTTGACAACGGTATAAGGATCTATACCGAAACGTCGCTTTTCACAGTATTAAAGAAGTTGTTATCCATAAAATTGTGTCTATCTTGTCATCCGCCAACTTCTAAGTAATGCATATCAAACAAGTGATACATATCTTGTCATTGTAATGACTGATTTCTTTGGTTTAACATGAAAATAAAAGGAAAGGAAAGAATAAAAACAAAGGAAGACCGATGTTTGCGGCTGAAGGATTATGGAAATCCCTATATTTTTCCGCATAGTTTGGCAACAAGGCCATACATATATTGATTTATATCAGTAAGTAAACATATGAGGTCATATAAGCATTCATGTCTATAGCAATATGCAGTTAATGATTCACCATTTCTAGTATGAATGGGCCCACGTTGAGCACTGTTAGGCTGAATCGTATTTCGAATAGTTGTGATAAAGCTATTCCAATAGACATGCTGAGCAGATAGATTGCTGCATCTGTTCGACGGGTTGTGCTCGGAGCACCACCACTCCTGTAATTATCGACTGGTTTGTTCAATGATTCGGTGTCAATAAAATTTTCAAAATTTATTAATATTATTATAGGTGTATATTTACGTGGTATGGCAAACTGTCTGGCATGTCGAAGTATGAGCTTCCCCTCGAGGTCCGGATAGTTGTTAAGAAAGTATGGGCTCAAACCGTTGGTCATTGCGGCTGCAATCCCTCCCATTTCGATCACTGATGGACATTGTTCGAAGTACACAAACACAGTCAGTGTCAAAAGACTATTGCCGTCATTGGTTATGCCTGTATGCGAGTGCTTAAACCATCCACGGATTACAAAGTCAGATATTGTACTTACGATATGAATACTAGTGCGGAAGTCATGAATGTTCAATACCTCAGGGTCGAGTATAGGAACTTGTTCTCCAGGTACAAAACCTAAAAGGATCTCTACTGTGAATGGTATCATGTTAGCTGTCTTACCTTCCCCCTCTATTTTAATAGGACATGTGCTGGTAATAACATCCCCTAATTCACAGACACTCAGAGTGGACGTAAGTGGACGCATGTTTAGTGATGTGAAACCCAACCCCCATGCCTTCATGTCTTGATTCCATATCAAAATACTCATGTCAAACGGATTATGAAAGAATAAGTCCTTTCTCTGATGGTCGACTTCTATCGTGTCAGTGCAAACCCCTGGTGGTGTCAGGTCGTTGTTGCACTGGTAGCAATGGATGTTGGCGTAAATCTTCAGCGGCTGTGATACAGGTCTGATGTAGGAAGTGTACGCTAGACATTCCTGTGCGAGTTCAGTAGAACTGGTGTTGGGACATGACTGTATGGCTCCCATCACACAAGGCCGTCCTCCAACATCTGTGGGTCTCTCGACTCTGGTCTCGCATAGGCCAGCTCTTATCTTGGCAATCAATGTATCAAAGACGGCGGGAAAGACTACACATAACACTCGGGCCTCCCATCCTCTCGGGGATTTCGCACTATTACATACTGCACAGAAGATGTTCCGATAATTCAAGCCTGAAATCGATGATTTACGGTAATAAATTACAACCAATCCATATAATTTAATTGGCTAACCAGGCGAATCATATCGTTGAATTTTAGTATTAACAATTAAATATGCCTGTTAAGTTATTATTGTTAAATATTTATAAGAATTCACTTCACTGAAGTTAAGTATAAGATATATGGTTGAAGAAATTCTTTATTACAACTAGGAGCGACGTTTGGGTTCTAACACCGTTATCAAGCAAGTGATGTACAGAGTATGGCTGACAAGTACATGTACAGATAGAGTAGATTTAAGATGTACATGTAGTTACACTAGAGTGGAGAAGCTTGTTATGTACACAAAAGGTAAACATATTGACCGGTGAAGTCAATAACATCAGTAATATAAACACAAGGGTGAAGCCAGTCATATAAACAAAAGGATTATGACTGACTAGGGACTTTGAGTTGAGTTGATGGTACGCCGGGGGTATGTAATAGACTTGGTCACGGTTGATTGATGGCTTCATGGAGTTTATTTTTCATTTTGAAGTTTTTGAGGTTGGTGGTGAGGGCTTTGATTTTCTCCCACTGCATGCTGTGGCTGGGGTTACCACAGATATGATCTGATAGACCTGACTTAGAGTCTTGTTGGGAGACTGAGAAACTTCACATGCTTGTTGCCACATAATGTTGTACAAGAGGCAATGGGATCACCATTCACCGTTTATATAACGAAAACATGTTGCCATGAACACTAAAGATGGTGTGAGAGGTTCCCTCAATCCCTCCCTCCCTCACTCACTCACTCACTCACTCTAGACGGAGTATGCTGTTAGGACCCGTGAATATCCGGGGTAAAAAAGGACTTCAGCAACCCATTCTTGCCGTAAAAGGCAACTATGATTATCGTAAGAGGCGACTAACGGGATCGGGTGGTCAGGCTTGCTGACTTGTTTGATAGATTCGATTCTTTATTACAGTATAAAGGCCAAAGGCCCATAATACATGCTTGATTTTATTAACATGTACTGCACTTACGCTTATATAAAGGCAGATGTACAATCATATGCAAGAAAGTGTGGTACATGTTTCAAATGTTACCAACAGTTGTTTAACATTGAGACATTATGTTTCATTGAACTATGAATATAACTCGTCATGTTAGAGTGCAGTTCCGTGTTTATAAACTTTCTGTAAATACTGACAAGTATCATGAATAACATAATTATCTGATGACCTAATACTTTTGCAAGAAAGTGTGGTACATGTTGTTTAACATTATAAATAGTGTGTTTGAATGAACTATAAATATCATTGAACATTATGTTTAAATGAATTATAAATATCACTCTTCCTTTAAGAATGCAATTTTGTGTTTATAAACTTTATGTAAATACTGACCACTATCATGAATAACATTATAGTTATCTGATGACATAATACTTATAAACGCCTGTAATGAGGCTGATCTAAAGTGCATGTACATACTTCTTAAGGTATCATACTGTTTACACGCAAGTAATACATGCTGTTCATCTTCAGTAGATGAAATACCTTCCTTGAGACAAAAAGGGCACAATCGCATTAAGTATTCAATATTATTATAACGTCCCGTTTCTATTGCAAGTCCATAATTACCCCATCTAAATATTGACATGGCTGTCCTGATAGATAAAGGTAGATTATAGGATAGATACAATTCAACATTGAGTAATGACTTAAACTGCCTATAATAATATGTCTTTGAAGAACTACCTAGTTTTGCAACCCTTTTTTTGATGGAGATTATCAAACATTCTCTGCTTGAATGTTGAAATAAATGTATCAATATGACCCACATCCTGTGCAACCCAAACAAATCCAAATCCAAATTGAAACAGAATATGTTTTATATGTGTGACCCAATTTACTCTTCCACTCTCATCCTGTGATAACATCATGCTATCACATTGAAATGGTAATCTATTGTCATTTAAATTAATAAGTTTAGTCCAATAATTAACTGCTCTTGTCATATAAATATACTGGAGAGGAATTCTTCCACATTCCCCTAGAACCATATTATTTGTAAACACGAATCTGCCATAGATGACACATCGTCAGCAAACATCAAAACAAACATCTCTTCAAAGGAAGGTGAAACATAGACACCCCTGCCACCAGTTTCTTGCATGAAGTACATTAACTTGTTTATAAAAATAATAATAAACTGCGGGCTTAAGGTACATCCCTGCCTCGTACCAATGTTACACCTAAAATAGTTTGATAAACCACCAGAGAGTCTTACACAAGCACTTAAATTTGAATACATTGAAACTATTATCTTATAAATTTGCCACTAACTCCTACTTCATTTAAGCTTTTTAACAAAACGTCATGTGTAATCGAATCAAAAGCCTTTGAAAAGTCTATAAATAAACAATAAAATCTTCCATTTTTCCTATGGGCATATTTTTGGGCAATAGATTGCAAACAGAAAATACTATCAATAGTGGAGCGATTAGCTCTGAAGCCAAACTGTGCTTCATTAATGACATTATGTTCGTCACACCAAAGCTGCAGTCTGGAGTTAAGAGTAGAGAAAAACACTTAACAAATAATATCTATCAAGGAGATTCCACGATAATTATCAATACAGTGTTTATCTCCTGACTTTAATAAAGGACATATTATACTTTTCCCCATTCTTTAGGGAATTCACCATTATCAAATATGTTGTTAAACAATAAGACCAACACAGGTAGAATATAATCTGATGATGCTTTCAGAAATTCAGCAGCAAGGCCATCAGGACCAGGGGATTTATTTAATCCCAACTTATCAATATGAAACAAACTTCATCATAGTAATAGGGCCCTTTAAGTTAAATATGCCTGTCATCGTATCCCAATTGCGTGGATCAATGCTCATGATGTCAATCACTGGATTGTAGGGTCCAGACTTGATTATTTACAAACCGCCGTCATATAGATGGAATATTGCTGAGTGCGGCGTTAAGAAAACAAGCAAGAAAAAACAAACGTATATTGTGCGGCGTCAGGCAATAAATACTTACCCTTTTAATGCAAATTGTGTGAATGGCGAATACTAACGGTACGGTAGGTTATGATTGCCCTCTTCGCGAAAACAGGGTGTCATCACTGATTTTCAGTGATCCAGTCGTCAAATGTTCAGAGTTAATTTGCCCTATATATCAAATGGAATCTATTTCGGTTGGTAATCTAGATTGGTTATTTTCTTGCACTGATAATTTGATATATGTAGAAGAGTTCCAAGACAATGTTTGACCTGAAAGCCAGGCTTACCGGTTGCTTTATCCGTTACAGGGATGCGATCAACAGTGCTGGCAGCGTCCCAGCCATCGTTGTGGCACTTGTCTCGTATGGTTGCATTCGAGTAGCCTGGCGGACACCTGTTGATGAACCTCTCAAGGCCAGTGTCTGTCTCAAAACAGTCGCTGTTGCGGATCATGGAGAGAGGAAGGGGTTCTGACGACGGGTTACACACGTCCTGGAAGGATAGAAAACCTTCATAAGTGGGGTGTTTGGATGGAGAGATGGGGATGGTGGTTAGCTCGAGAATAGATCTTTAAGGATCCCTACATACACAAACAGAAACATCAAGGATTCTTTATTGCAATCGTTCGTGTGTATCTTTATTTTCACGTTCTTCAAACACTAAAAGAACAGCTTACCTTGAAGTCATGACAACAGTCTTCGTACGTCTGGCAATCGTCATCACAGGAACACGGGATGTGGACGTCGTCACCACAACGGCCGCTGCAGGAGAAGGCTGAGCTGTTACATGGGATGTCTTTGGGGGGACTTCTAGTTGTGAAGTCCGGTGTCCCGAAACCGGGTGGAAAGAGGAACCCTATATCCCCACTGCACACCCGTACATACAAACACAGTAAGCCTATTGAAGAAGGGGACAGGAGTCCGACCATCGTCTTTGGAAGCTTCTCGCTAGTGATGTCTAACTACAGCGTTATTCATTTAAGTCGATGTTTAGTTGACACCACTAGCTGATTAATGCATTAGTTAAACCTGATATGTTTCCTTTCTTATGAGAAAGCCCCATTAGCCAAACGTGAAAAGGGTAACAGGAGAGAGTTGTTTCCTGTTTGTAGGGGTTGATGGTAAATAGAAACGAGTCTTTTGGCTTAATCACTTTTCTTGTCTTCTTGTTGGTGAGTAACGCGAGGAAGAGCCAATATCATATTCTCTTGAGTCAGTGAGTTTCATACGTTTATAGCAACATTCAAGCAATATCACGAAGGGGACACCAGAAATGGGCTTCACACATTGTTCCCATGTGGTAAATCGAGACGGTTCTTCGGCGTGACGAGCGAACGCTTTAACCATTAGACTACCCCCACACACCACCCAGTATAGTGCCCCCCCCACCCCCCACCGAGATGCCATGCGCAGTTTAACATTGATACCTTACTTACACATATCATCCTCACTGACAAGGTTACCAGTTCCTGTTACCTGCGCCATTGTACCTGCGGATATTGTCGTTGTTACTTATTCACATCGCCTTCATATTCATGGGCAATCTACGGGTTGTCAAGTTTGCGTCTATAAGCGACTTGACATATTGTCCGATAGAGGGAATCAAACTTGACGCCAACACACTAGGTTCGAACCCTTTCTTGTTGTCGCCGACCGTGTTGGCCAGAATGATGAAGGCAGCATATAACTCATTACTACTTAAAAAAAGACGCACTTCTCGGTCTCTCGATCGAAAGTTAAGTATGTCAATACCAATCAACCAAAGTGATAAGCTGCTGCTACTGAGGAACAAAAGAGATTTTTTTTTCCCGTGACACGAAAGTAGAACAGTTATCGGCATCAGCGCGGCTATAACTGGGAGCCAGTTCTACCTTCCAACATTCTCCAATACTCCAGTCGGCTAAACCCGCCCGCAGCATCGCCAGATTGGACAGGGGGATATTCACTCAGGTAGGCGTGTCTTTATCATTTCAAGAGATTGTAAAGCCTTAAGGAGACTTGTCCAGTGATTAAGACATGTATGTCCATTAGGTTACGACACCTGGGTGTTCACACTTCACAGCTCTAGCTTCGTTCTTTGCATGCTTATGTTCATGTAACCCTTGCGTGAACATCCAGTGTTCATTATTAATGGCATCTAAATAACGTCCGCGTGTACCGAGCGATTGCATAACGTCTAGCAACCAGCAACATTTCAAATTTTCCAAAACATTGCATTAAGTGCAACGGAGATTGGTGAATTCTTTTCTAGTTTATACTTTCTGTTGGATATTGTGGCTGTCACATATTTGCATAATTTTAATACTTCTACTGTTTTTAGCGTTAGAACGATACAGTTTTCAGCTAAGGCCTCAAGTGGTCGGGACACATTACAACAATATGATGACGTGACGGGCTATTATTTTTTTATTGAGTTAAATAATTCACAATTGACCATGAAACTATATTCAAATTTTCCAAAACATTGCATTAAGCACAGCGGAGATTGGTGCTAGTCTTGCTAGTTGCTAGTCTATATTTTCTGTTGGATATTGTGTCTGTCACATATTTACATAAATTTAATACTTTCAGCTAAGGGCATTTGGTCGGGACACATTACAACAATATGTTGACGTGACGGGCTCGTATTTTTTTTATTGAGTTATTCTTTTAAAAAGCATTTTCATTCATTCTTTCTTTCATTCTTCCGTTCGTTCGTTCTTTCCTTCATCCGTTGATCCATTTTTCATACATTCATTGTCTTACTGTTGTTCATCGTCTATGCATGTTTTTGTTCTTGAGATTCCTTTTTCCGGTTCTTTAACACCGAAACACTGCAAACGTAAGGTCTCAAAATTATGGATTTGAATCCAATTCGTTTGTTAGCACTGTCTAAACTCGTGGGCAAACGTAAGTACAGAAAACTACGGTTATAACGAACTAAAAGGGACTACTAATTTTAGTCCGTTATACCGTAGTTCGTTATAAGTACATATACAGCATGGCTACAGCAGGAAGTCGGGACCAAAAAGGAGGGTTCTTTATATCCGACAGTTCGTTATAAGCGTGATCGTTATAACCGTAGTTTACTGTATACCCTTTTGAATTGATTTTTTTCCAAAAACTATCAAAGTGAGCAAAATGATATAAGGCTTAAAACAGGTGCCCGAGAACTGCACAAGCAGTCTCCAAAACGCAACGCGTTGGCCGAAAAGTTGCACGTGCAGTGGCCAAAAGTCACCCAAAAGCTTTTCCAGGTATTCGTAAAATTGCACGTGCCGAATTTGTATAAAATCGGGATGAACCGTTGCTAAGACATCAAATATTGTTTGTTTGTTTGTTGTTTAACGCCGCACTCGGCAATTTTCCAGCTATATGACGGCGGTCTGTAAATACTCGAGACTGTATCAGACCATCCAGTGATTAACATCATGAGCATCGATCCACGCAATTGGGATCGTTGACTTGTATCAACCAAGACAGCGGGCCTGACCATCCGACTGGCAGGACACAAGACAGGCCAAGGTCGGGCAGACCATGAGTGACAACGCAACAAGAAGATCGACACTTGCGCATGTACGATCTGCGCAACAGGTTCGTTACGGCGATGGAAACGGCAGTAACGGCGTTAGGACACCGTATCGGCCGACGCACGGCGCTACGACGTCTACGTGACGCAGGTATTAGAGCTCGTCGTCCTTGGAATGGCATGACCCGGGAACATCGACGTCGAAGACTTCAATGAGTCGGGACAGTGGGACGTTGGTATGTCCGTGATTGGCATAGAGTGCTTTTCTCTGACGAAAGCAGGCTTCAGCTGTTGATCAACGATGGTCGAGCTCGAGTATTCAGACGCAGGTGGAACGTTTGGTGCCAGGCTGCGTTCAAGAAGTTCATCCCTATGGTGGAGGTGGGGTGATGGTTTGGGGTGGAATTGTGGCAACCAACGGACGAGACATGTCATAATCCGTGGCAACCTCAAGGGCCAGCGATATCCGTGGTGCTTCCATTCCTTCACCAACAGCAACAGGGAACACTCCTGCAGTATAACAACGCTAGACCACACACTGCAAGGCTCGTCAAGAACTCTTGAATCCGATCAACGTCAACGTTCTTTCGTGGCCAGCATTCTCACCTGACTCGAACCCAATTGAACAGTTGTGGGATCATCCGAATACGTCCACACCCACGAGCAAACCAGCAACAGCTTGCCGACGCTTAAGGAATTGAATGGAATCGGATTCCCGATTACGTCATCAGGCGGCTGACAACATCAATGAGGCCGCGAGTCTGGCCGTGCATTGGTGCTTACGGTGGTATTACTCGTTACTGGGCGCACAAGGTATCCATTGCAAATCCACAAACTTATCAAGACAGTACCGGGTTGACTCTGATCATTCCTGTGAACTGTAATCTGCTTACGCCCATGTTCATGTAAACGTCATTACACGTCATGTACACGTCATGTACACGTCACCTGTTTTGAGTTCCGCACTGAAATTGTCCATGGACTATCGCATGTGACCCTATAAGCGAATGTATCATCATTGAATAACATTATCTTGCTTGTTTTCATTTTATTGACCATCAAACATGGGTGTATACTTTCTTTTCCCCACTAGTTTATATGCTCTCCTCTCTATAGACGTGGCAGTCGGGTAGCCTAGTGGTTAAAGCGTTCGCATGTCACGCCGAAGACCCGGGTTCGATTCCCGACATGGGTACAATGTGTGAAGCCCATTTCTGGTGTCCCCCGCCGTGATATTGCTGGAATATTGCTAAAAGCGGCGTAAAACCATACTCACTCTTTAGACATAATCTGTAAATATTCCTATTAGAAAACAAAAATGCCATCTACGTCAAAGCTAAATAATCAAGTGACTGGATAAAAATTATGATAACGACTGGATTATTATGATAATATATCTACACAATGTTCACATGCTAACTGCACAACGGATTAGCGTATCGCCGTGGAATAAGTACGTTCCATATACCTTCAAAGCCAATCTAATCGAAACTCGTACTCATTTATAGCTCTCATGTGTTGAATGAATTAGTGAGTTAAATTTAAGAAAAAATATATTAGTCCCATGTATTGAACAATTCACTTTACGGTTTGTTATTATGCGTGTTTAGAAAGTGTTAGAGAGTGTAAACTCTGGTACCTGAACTCGTTGCCTCCAGGAATCAATATCCACGTGGTGTCACATACCGTATATCGAAACGCATGATAATGGAATCAATATCCACGTGGTGCATCATACCGTATATCGAAACACATGATAACGGAATCAATGCATTTCCTCCCCTCAGCACTTGTATTATTCAGAGATGTTTATGATGTATGACAAATAAAATTTAGATCCGCAGAGTAAGGTATATTTCTGTACATTTGAGTACTTTATCAATATATTATTCAAAACAATCAGTTCCAAATGTACTCTGATGTAGATGCACCCTGCTTCCGCCCGTCGTCATATAAACGACCACCCAACATAAATGACGGTGGCTAAAATTGAAACAAACGAGACATGGTTATTGATGATGTACTTGTTACGGGCATACTTTAAACGTGTGTAGTTATTCCCACTTACAAGACCTATTATATCCATTATATGTAAGCATCACTACATTGATTGTTTGACCAAAGAACTTGGTATAAGTGATATCAAATAATACCACATATGAGCCAGTATGATAACCGAGGAAGACATCCACCCAAAACTAAGCATCAATACTATCAACTTTTGGCTTGACTCTAAACCTGAAGACTTGTCCATTCCCCTTTGTACTAGATTCCAAAGGTCCATAAGACTCCGTACAGGGAGATATAGTGAGGGGTCCAGCAAATGTTCAACCAAATCCCTGGCTCAACGATTAACCATAATCCTTATAACAAACAAGGAAGGACTTCCTTGATATGTACAGGGCGTATTTGAGACAAGCGGAATTAATGCCAAATTCTAAAAGGAATTTTTTTTATACTTACAATCTCAGAAAAGAACCATGTTTAATTTTGTCAAAAGATTTTATTTTTCAACTCTATACACACCTACCCCCCAAGAAAAAAACTTAAGGGTAAACCTCATTCCTTGATCCATGGGTTTTGTTACAAAACGTGATGACCATAGATATAGTTATATATCTATCTTCAGAGGTTCAGGCCAATTTGTCGAAAACGAAATTAAATGTCATCTGAAGTTTACTTAGAAAACAATATGTGAAATACTGGACTTTCCTATTGATAAAATTTATGTAACATTTGGGGTAAGACATTTACGCAAGAGTAGGTATCCCCATGGACACCAAGTGTACTCCCCTTTTTACTGATCTCTCTCTTTACGAATATGAATCGGAATTTCTACTCGGATTGGCAAAGTTAAAACAAGGAAATTTACCAAGAAGTTTAACATAAACTTCTCATTCTCAATCCTTTAATTATCATGTACATATAAAAATAAGAATGCAGCAAAGAGGGTTTGGGTGATCCTGGCACAGTCAGGCTGGTTAGGCTCATCATCAGCTCAGGGCCCTTGCCCCCTCTACACGCAGCCCAGACAGAGATTGGGACTTCTCCCAGGAAGCGCTGCCTTGTCAAACCATCCCAGAGCTTGTGAAGACTCCCCAACTTCTGCATTTCCCAGATTGTCAGAAGGGCTCTTTTCCTGGTAGCAAACCCGGGTACCCACCCAATGCCAGTCAACAGATTAGGAGGTACCAAACCCAAGGCACCAAGAACAATGGGGAGTCGGACAACTTGGTACTTGGGATGCAAGCGTGCAAGGTGTGCATATTTGCCATATTTTTCCTGAATCTTGTCAAGCACATAAGTGTCAAAAGGGACAGAAACTTCAATACTATAAATGATTTCATTGGAGTTATCAAAAAGGACAAGATCAGGTTTTTGATGGCCTGGATACGTCTGAGGCTGTATCTACAAATTCCGGGTCGTACCATGGATGGACCTCTGCGTCAAAACCACGACCATTGCGGAGACGGTAATAAAATGATCGAGCCACTCCATCATGTCGCTTAACATACTATGTTTGTGTTTGTGCCAAAGGTGGGCATCCACTGACAATGTGTTGGACAGTCTCATTAAATTCATTACATAATCTACATTTCATATTTACATTTTGGTGCAAAATCACACATCACACAGTGGGAAGTGACTGGTCCTGAGCAGCAAACAGAAAGCCTTCTTTTTCACTTTTCAGGCCAGCCGACTTCATCTTAACGAAGGACTCTCCACTGACCTTCTCAAAACACTGCACATTAACTCGGTGCAGTGGTCGCTCAGATAGCCTCTCCTTGAGTCTGGGCCGATTTGATATGGCACATCGCTTAGTTATATACTCATTTCTGTGCCGTCCAGCAGTACAGAACCATGAACAGAATCAACACTGACATTGAGATTATGTCCTACATCCTTGGCTCGTTTAAGAAAACTGTGGAATGCCTTGTTTTCATCGTGTGTGTTGACATACTTTACAAGGGGATAAATAATCAGACAAATAAATGTTTGCAAAACAATTCTATCATTAAAAACCCCAACGTTAATCAAACCACGTCATGCCATTATGATTGGTAAATATAAGCGATTGAGGGAAGGGCGACTGTGGCTTGATCTACTGTCTGACATGATTCTTCGTGTGAGGGTGTCAACACCCTGAATATAAAAGGACGGGTACAGTATAAGTTTTTGTGACTTTAACTTTATTGCGAGCGTTTAGCTCTGAACTCCAGATTTTCTTAAGCCTACATTTGTACTCTGCCCGAAGTGTTTCCCTGATGTGGGCATTCTGGAGTTTGTCCCTAATCTTCACCCCAAAGTACGTATATGCCTGACCTTTTCGGAAGATGATCAATAACTCCTCCCCCAATTAAACTGACTGATCCACTCTCTTCTACCTTGCCACGTTTCAAATGAAGAATGTTGCATTTGTCGAGTCCAAAGTACATGCCGATATCATTAGAAAAGGACTCGACGAGCAGAATCTGGTTTTTTTAAGTGTGGATCCTCCATTGGCAATAAGTTCAAGTAAAGGAGGTGAGTAAGGGGTGTTGGGGATCTGTGCTGAGGAGGTCCCGGAAGATAACCTTCCTCTTTGCTGAGCTAAAAGCCTAAAAGATTTAGTGACAAACGGAAAAGCAAAGGGCTAAAAGAATCGCCCTGAAATATCCTGAACCCTAAAAGAAACGTCACCATGGATAGAAATATGAGAAACCTTATTTGTCCAAACACTTGTAAGCGTACTTTGAGACATATTAAAAAGATGAAACTTGGCAAAACTGATCAAGGTTGAAATTAAAGTATAAATTTTTCTTAAAGTGAAACACAACTAGTTTCTGAGAAAATGGCATCAGAAGTCAGTATCTCGTGTGTCCGCCATGCGCATTGATGACATGTAGCGTCGATACATGGAATGGATGAGGCGGTTGATGAAGGCCATAGAGAGCCAGGACTCTGAGGAACGCCTGACGCAGTTCAGCTGCGGTTGGTCGGTATTCATTCAGCCGTCTTTGAATCTCGTCCCACAGGTGCTCAATGGAATTTAAATCGGGACTGAGGGCAGGCCACTGCACGGATCTGATGCCATTGTCCTGGAGGAAGTCTCTTGTTGCTCTCGCAGTGTGGGCACGGGCGTTATCATACTGAAACTCGTGGTTGCGGCGAAGTACCAAATGAGGTATGGCGTGTGGTCTCAAGACTTGATCAATGTACCCTGGACCGATGTTCTGGAATGCCACAGGGCCGACCGTCTGTGCAAGACCAATTCCACCCCACACCATGATGCTCGGACCACCCCACGAGTAACTCTCAACAACACAAGCATTCGTATCACATCCCCCACAGCGTCGCCAGACTCTCCGCCATCTGTTGAGATACAGTAACGTCTCTCGTCTGAGAAAAGGACTCGTCTCCTGTGCTGGTGGCGCCAATGCTGGTGCTGTGTTGCCCACTGAAGACGGTCCCGGCGATGACATGGTGTCAGAATGGGTCCTCGGTGTGGCCTGTGACAGTGGAGGTGTCTGCTCGTCAATCGTCGACGCACGGTGTCCGCACTTATGTGTCACTGGTGTGTCCCCATGGTCTGTCGAGCAGTTTCCGCAGCAGTAACAGCGTGATCTTGAAGATGATGTCGCACAATCTGACGATCCTGACGTCGGGTAGTGACCCTTGGTCTTCCACTACGTGGTCGGTCATCTATAGTGTTTGTGGTCTAGTACAGTTGCTCGAGCCTCTACATGGTCCTTACGCGGACTTGAAATACATTGGCTAATTGCCGGGCGGTTTGTCCAGCTTGCAATCGTCCAAGGACTTGGTGTCGCTGATTTCTTGTCAATCTTGACACGTGGTAGCAATTCAATAACGAATGAATGTTATCCGATCTGGGTGGATTTTTATAGGGCAAGAAATGGGGGAACGCATGTGCATTTCAATTTGCACGGAACTCACGTGCATCGGCTTACCATGGCCGTTGCCGTGATGCGTTTGTACGATCGGTTTTATTTTCATCTGCTTTGTTTTTATCATCAAATTTCATTTTTCCGGACAATGCAATGTTCAATTTTAGAAACTTTGACAAAAATTCCCCAGATATTAAAATGACAAATTTTCATGCAATGTTACTTGGGGTGACGTTTCATTTCCGGTTCCTTATAGTTCTCTTCTAATAGAATTGGGTTCCGAAGTCACCTACTGCCCCTGCAAATACATCTCAACATGAATTGACCAGCAATTCATTGAAAACTTGAGTAAAGCAAGTTGTCGCTCGGGGAGGTCAATACATTCCAGTGACCTCAAAATCCATTCGTGAGGTACAGAATCATAAACTTTTCTGTAGTCTATCCAACACAACACAACCAAGGCGGAAACCCCCTGTATCCACAAGAGAATTTAAACAGTGAAGAATTGGTGTTTGGACACAAGGGAACAATTTCCAAATCCGGTTTCGAATACCATCAGGCCCTGGCGCCGTAATAGATTTGGATTTTTTAACGACATTTGTCAGACAATATGGCGTAATGAAACACAACAATCGTGACTTTATTTTGACATGTACATTATTATTTTTCCCAGACCAGTGGATTCGTTTGCAAACCTGTTATCATTCTCCACTCCATGGGAAGCATACAACACAAGCTGACTGCGGGAGCTAGAGGGTTTCTACGTCAACATCCCAATGACTTAGTTTCACACATGACACTTATTACAATATCTAAACCTAGACTGGCCATTGGCGCCACGACATGGAGCACAGACTCCCTTTAAACGGACCGCCTTCGTGGTCTAGTGGTAGAGCGTCCGCCCGGAGAGCGGAAAGACGTTAATAGATGGTACTTGTTGTTACCCTGTCTGGCGCTCGGCATTAAGGGGCTAAACAAGGACTGGTCGGCTCGGAGTCCGTATACTGTGTCTGAGTGGGGTATTCATGTGAAACTGCGGCATGGTATCTCAGTGGGCTAGCACTATAAATCGGCATCTCGGACGCGACGTTAAACCCCATTTCACCTCACCTCATCCTTTAAACGTCGTATCGGAGCGTGTCATAACCTAACGTGCCGTTTTAACATTATATTTCTTCATGAACTGTTTTACAATTTTGAGTTTGAACTGGGTTATTTCAGTAGAGTCAAAATCAGCACACAACACCAGGTGGCTGGTAGGTGAAAAATGATGCCATGTACGATCTTTTTATTTGTAGACGAAATAGAAGATGAAACATCTGTCAACGAGACCACCTGGTGTGTTGGTGTTTGTGCTGCTGCTGGAAACCGCTAACTGCGTTGGTATGTACGTTCGTATAATGGACGACAATATGGAGTACCAGAACCAGTCCAGCATCCTCCGCACCTTCGGAGCCGGGAGTCCAATAGAATGTGGAGTTGAATGTGACAGGGTTCCCACATGTGTCTCCTTCAACGTGAACACTGAGCCAGACAACAGCTACGTGTGTGTCCTCCTCGACTCCATTCCCATGTCACCTAATCAGGACTTGGTGCTTGCGAAACACACGGACTACTATGAGAAGGTCAGATTATGTCTCAAAGGCATTGGAATAGACCTGCACAAGTCTCTAAGTCAATAGGGGCGGTCGGGTAGCCTAGTGGTTAAAGCGTTGGCTCGTCACGCCGAAGACCTGGGTTCGATTCCCGACATGGGTACAATGTGTGAAGCCCATTTCTGGTGTCCCCCGCCGTGATATTGCTGGAATATTGTTAAAAGCGGCGTAAAACCACACTCACTCACTCACTCAAGTCAATAATTATTTGTTTAAATCAAAATTTCTAGATTATGTAAATAATAAGAACACGTTGTCCCTATAAGGGACTGAAGTCCTTAGCCATAATGTCCACATATCTAGATTTGCCTATTAGGATGATAGAATTACTTCACATCTATGGACTATTCTTTCAGTTCAGGCCTGGAGAAAGGCTAGCATTAAAATTAGAAACTGAAATAACTATTACAGTAGTTCCTGGTGTAATGTAGTGGGTTGGTATGATGTTTGACCAACAGTACATAATTAACCTTACCATGGCAGCACGGGTCTGTGTTGTAAACGAAAGACCCGATATTTTAGTCCCCGCTGTCGCGAACACCTGGAATAATCACTATTTGGTAGTGATCAATAAAGAAACCGTCACTGCGGGAGAATATCCGTGTATCTGTCGAAGCAGATTCCACTGGGCGTACAAGGCAAAATAATGGTGAAAGTTATATGAATAGATGGACGGTTTTAATGTCTCTGCCCAAACGTTTGCTTTGTAGTTGACTCAGCACCATTGGTAAATGCTCTTAGCTTATGATAAAACTCGGGGACAATCAACCAGCAGAAACAGAGGCCCATTTTCACACATGCTTATGAAACAGTCGGAATCATACACTTTAATCTGCTTTTCACTGCAATAGGTGAGGTGAAATGGGATTTAACGTCGCGTCCAAGATTATTGCACTTATATTGCTTATATTACTCACTGAGATACCATGCCGCAGTTTAACATGAATACCCCACTCAGACACAGTATACTGACTCCGAGCCGACCAGTCCTTGTTTTAGCCCCTTAATGCCGAGCGCCTACAGGGTTACAACAAGTACCATCTTTTAACGTCTTTTGGTATGACGCGGTCGGGGATCGAACCCCGGACCTTCCGCTCTCCGGGCGGACGCTCTACCACTAGACCACGGAGGCGGTCTCACTACAATATGGCACCAGGTAGCAAATACTTCCTTTTTTTATGCAAAAGGTAAGGGTGGTGGGTGTTACCGGTAGGGCAGGACATGCGTCCCCTTTTCGCGGAGAAACTTGTGTCATCACTGATTTTCAGTGATCCAAGCATATGATTTTCACCTCTATTTTGCCCTTTACGACAATCGAATCTGTTTCGGCGACAGGTTTTTCTCTGGCGTTAACGTTCTATATGTTATGAATGTGGAAAAGATTTCGTCGTTTTTATCAACACATGTCATGTCTGATATGTATTCCAAACCGATCTTCAATGTTTGGATCTACGTTCATCTAATAGTGGGTGAGTGAGTTATGAGTTTACGCCGCTTTTAGCAATATGTATGGGTGAGTATATCACGGCGGAGGACACCGGAAATGGGCTTTACCAAAATTATCATGAAATATAGACCATTTGTTTTAACAGTTCAGGCGATCATAATCGCCAACAAAAACACTCAAACACATTTCGCAACGAAATCTTTCAATTCTACCATATATCAAAAAATATATATATTGACCTACATTTTGAGCGCATCGTACTTAAAAACACCGCACCATTTGCGAAAAAACTTTATTACCAATCATTGTCCTTCCTTAAGTAGATCATTGCTCTGTCGATATGAAGACAGTAGATATTATCCAAACATCTTAATGTACATGTATTTTTGCTAACACACTTTTTTTTTGACACAGGGGACTTAATGGAGGCTATAGTATCTGTCGTCGCCATACTTAGCCTAATGCATGATCATTCTTCCTTTGAACATCCGGGTCCCCCGGCGCATGGCCTTCTGGGAAACCACCTCTTGCTTAATTAGAGATAAGAGCGTGCTTTAGGGGCATAACCATAACATCCATTAACTCATTGTTTCATGTCGCCTACAAGAAGAAAATGTAATTGGCGTAAAATCAATAATAATATTAGTAATAATATGCCTTTTAAACAATCGGTTCTTTCTTCTGTCTTTCAAGACTTTTACGAATGTACTCTGATGTTAAAGAAGGTCAGTGAGTGGGATTGTTACCTACAGGGTGCTAGTCGTTGTATAAGTAATTCTTCAATATAAATTGAGACTGGGGTGGCAATAGGACGCATATGGTTGCATTGCCAAAGGTTTCCCGTTTACAGTGTATATAAACGATATAAGTGATTGCGTTTGACACGGCCTTGAACAATTTATGTTATATCACGTTCTGCATAATGTGAGATAAATAACCATGATCACCGGATCCAGGCACAGCTAAGGGAAGTAATATTGCATAGCAATCGACGTCGCCTTCCGTTCCCCTACACGAAATGATGTGTGGATGACTTTACATATGTGAAATACTATTTCGCACAAAATAGCGTTATTTTAGTTTTCGTCAAAGTACAAGAGGGATAATTAAGTCTCAATTATAATACCAACATTGACTCCTTCCTATTATAGTTTATGGTGATGAAACCAATGCAAATGTATTCTACCATTTGTCACCGCCTGAAATCGTTGCTATGTTAACCTGTTTTAGTTGTTTAGCAATGTCGCAATAAGCATTGCCTATATAAAACACATGAACATTAACATTTAACATTCACATTTTAACCGTTGTATCTTAATATGGTCTTTTTACGGTCTAAATAATTTATAAAATTATTTTAGTTTTATCTACAGCTTCTTTTTAAAACCATTTGATAAAATGATAACATACACCTTTTACAGTATTTAGTTATAAACTATTTTATGACGAAGTCGAAATGTGACAGAATATATATGATGCTCAGGAGAAGACAGACACTTTCTTGCATAAATAAATGAATAGTACGTGTTCCTCAAATCACACATGTGTAAGCATTCATGGTAAACAATAATAACTTTTTATAAATATTTGGATAATACAAAACCCCACTATAGTCCCTGCTGTAACATATTTGCAAAATATAAAGGGAAATCTCTCTCATTCTTTTTTTTTTTTTAATTTTCAGACCTGTCAGCCTGGTGTTCGTGTAATGGGCACGAAGGATTTTAATATGCCGACGCCAGCTGTGTACGTGGTGGCGGACATGGGCACTTCTGGTTACATGCTCCAGTTCGAGACTAACTTTGATCAGAAATCCTTCAGTTTCATTAACACAGTCGATGCCTTGTCTAGTGGACAGTACCAGATCATCAGCGGCGTAGAGGATTTGTTCTCGCCCGAGTACCAGAAAACCGTGGTCGTTGTGTCAGGTATGGGGCACTTGATGGATACAAAGGACTCCTCCTCAATTTACAAGTGTGTTATATCTACTCGGTTCTTCTTTGATAAATAGGGGCACGGGTGGCCCAGTCGTCTAAGGCGCCGCGATTCGCTGTGCAGAGTTGCGTCCCTTGGGCACGCCAGAAACCTATGATTGTGGGTTCGAATCCCGGTTCGCCCCGATTATGTTTCTAGGTTTGTCAGCACCATACCCGTGCTCGTGGGTTTCATCGAAGTGGTAAACGTCTGAGACCTGCATCACTTCGGGCTTTCCTCCCACATCAAGCTGACACGCCGTGATATAACTGGAATACTGTTAAAAGCGGCGTTAAACCAAACTCACTCACTCACTCTTTGATAAATACCATGCACCTTGCGACCATTTACCACCACGTTTTGGTTCCGTTTCGAATAAAAAAGGCCTCAAAGAAATAACAGGTTTTTTTTGTTTGAACGGCCTATTTAAGCCGTCCAATCAAATTAACCTGTTCCCTCTTGTTTGAAACAAGCGTCAATATCAGTACTCGGTTATTGCATATCGTCTCAAATACAAATAGCAACGCCTGTGACATAGGTTCTCCCCCATCAAAATACAGAGGCAAACATGTTCCATACCAAAAGGTCTTTTACAACAGACTTCTGATTTGATTAAATATATGGTTGATTCGATTACGCCTTTTTAATTAGATCTATGCCGTACTCGCTTTCTCGCGGTGATTTCGATTGGTGGTTTAGAATTGAAGCGCATGCGCAAGAGATTGTGACGTCACTAAACGTTTTGGTCCAAGGTGTATATCATGATAAACTAAGGGACAAAATAAACTTTACACAAGTTTGAATGCCGTTGAAAGAATACGAAAACTAAACTAAAGTTATCATGTATGTCACCATAACTGGTATTGGATGCACACACGCACATGGTTCAATACAGTGAACACGTTCAAATGGCTCCTGACTTCATGGGATCCTGATGTTTCACTTTGCCTCTGGAAATATGCGCTGGTAGTACAGCTGAAGGTATTCACGTGTGTGTTGGTCCCAGCTGACTAACAACATGCATGCCCGCCACCTGCATTAATGCACTGTTACACATCGTCTCACTGATGAGATGAAGACAGTCACCTAACAAAGCCATATTCTTCGCCGTTCCTCCTGAGGAGCTTTGTTCATAGGCTGATCCAGGGGGTCCGTAGGCAGTCAAACTTACTGAGAGAGGATTTTGATATTTTGGACCCCTCCTTTTTAATAAAGCTGGATCTTCCCTTGTTTTTCAAGTTGAATGATGTTGGCTGGGGACAGTTGTTGGGCGAATGTTTCTGTCCAAGTGGTCTCATTAATGTTCAGTAGGATCCATTTCCGGTGAACATATTGGCCATGGCAGGATGTGAACATTATTGTTGCTGGTCAATTGAACATTTGGCGCTGTGAGGCCTTGCGTTGTCATGTTGAGGCAGTGTTCCTGGGGCTTGCCATGCTCAGATGGTAACGCAACTGGCTGGAGAATTAAACCCCTTATTCTTGAATGTTGATATTGTCATTTGTGGTCACCGGGTTTGTTTTCCGGCAATCGCAAATGCCTCCCCGTCCTCTTTATCGGTGACCTCTTGAATCCAGGTGTTGCGGTCAACTTTTGTCCATAAATAGTACTATCTGCCAGTTACGTCGCTGGCAACGTCGTACGATTCTTGCCCACTGCAATCTGAGACGTCGATGGGGTCACTACCATTCCACGGAAGGTGCGATATGCTGTAATACCTGAAGCACGAGGACGTCGTATGACGGTGCTACGACTGATACTGTGTCCAAGCGATGATGATGCCGTCAGGAGCCACATGAGGAGGTGGCTAGTCATCTTCTAGAGGCAAGGGCGTTAAACTGTCTATAACAGTCCAGTTTCCACCCTTGCCGAACGAGGCTCGATCGTAGCGCCACTGGTGGCTATTACGAGTTATGTCCCTTCTATGTCCCTCCCATTGACCAATCTGATTCCACCTATCATATCACTTGCATTTGCTTCAAACAAAACGTCGGCGCCCAGTCTTTTGTAATAAAACAGTTCTTACCTCGCGAAGTCCGGAATTCCAGCCAAGATCGGTAAGGGTCGTTAAGGGTGGAAACTGGACTTCTTTAGTCAGTTAACCCCCTTAACTGGCTAGTAGGAATATGACGGTCTTCCTGTTGTGTTGTGACAAGTCCAATGCCAGTCCTGTGTTCTTCTTGACTGTCTGTGACGTTGGAAAAAATCTTTTTGACCCTTTTCAAACTGATACATGGCCTTACATAAATACTTGATTGATGCACAGATAAAGTGATAGGTGGTACTAGTACAACGACGTGAATCAGCCGTGATCAGAATGTCAATATGCATCATTGTCATTTCCATAATTCCTCAAGTTGTTGTATGTTGTTTAACACCGCACTCAGCAGTTATCCATCTATATGACGACGGTCTGTAAATAATCGAGTCTGGACCAGACAATCCAGTAATTGACATCATGAGCATCAACCCACGCAAATGGGATACGATGACATGCATCCACCAAGTCAGCGAGCCTGACCACCCGATCCCGTCAATATTTACAGACAATATTACTCAGTCTTTATTCGCAGGTAAATGTTAGTGTGATGATGCATCTGTCTGTAACAACTCCGCCCTAAACATACGGTTAAGGATATTCAATAATTTAATCACTGATTTTTCCAATAAGATAATCACAATATTCAAAATATATCAAATTCCGTTGAAACGTCATTAACTCGATGTTTAATTACCATAACAGTATATTATTACAGGCAATTATATGGATAAAAAAATTCTAATTGGACCATACAGTCTAATATTTCCAATGAATGATGTTCACAGTTTGGTTCACTGTTTGTTCCAGAGGGTCGTTTCTTTTGTGAACGCAAGCATCTGAACGCCACCCACCTCCCTTGCTTCATCGGTGACTATGTCCCTCTGAAAGACATCTTCAATACCCAGGATGTTAATGCTGTCATGGCCGACGCTAGCGGATATGCTCTGTTCGGATTCACTGAGAATCAGGTCATCACGGTCAAAGCACCTGCCAATGGGCCTTGGACTGTGGACAGTGTCCTTGACCTTCCTGGTCCCTCTGGGGGTCAATTCCAACACTTCCCCCGGGGAATCAGGGGCGCAGCAAACCTGCCCAACCAGAACAAAACGATTCTGTTTACCCAATTTTATTACATGATACTTGATGATACAAACGCTGTTCTGAAGAGAAGCCAGGTTTGTCTTTAGAAAAATGGTAAGGTGAGGTGATATGGGGTTTAACGTCGCGTCCAAGATTATTGCACTTATATAGCGATGTGCATGCACGTGTGTGTGTGTGTGTATGTGTATGTGGCTGCTTGAACTAGTCCGGACTGATGCCGATTTATAGTGCTAGCTCATTGAGATACCATCCTGCAGTTGAACATAAATACCCCACTCAAACACAGTATACTGACTCCGAGCCGACCAGCCATTGTTTTAGCCCTTTAATGCCGAGCGCCAGGCAGGGTAACAACAAGTACCATCTTTAAACGTATTTTGGTATGACGCGGTCGAGGATCGAACACCGGACCTTCCGCTCTCCGGGCGGACGCTCTGCCGCGAGACCACGACGGCGGTCTGTAGAACAATGGTGTCATCGTCTTTGAATATGAAGACACAGAATAGTATGCATCTTCATAGTATGCATCTGCATTGTGGGTGTATACTATTGTATATAAAGCGACAAAACCCTTTCCATATCCAATAGAAATCTCTGCAGAAATCAGAGTCGATTGTACGATTCCGACTATATCATAAGCATGTGATTATGAATCACTATCAAATAGTAATGATACCAGTTGTTCGCGAAAAGGTGAGCTTATCCTGCTCCACCGGTGGCACCCGTCACAAACACATGCAAAGGCATTTCAATTGTTCACCTTAAAAAACACGGGAACATCTGGTACAAGTCAAAATAGGGAATTGCATCGGGCATCATTTTTGTCACTGATGCGTCAAATTAGGATATGTCCTCCATGTGTCTACTGTGACACTTTTTGAAAGCTTTACTGAGGCCTTGAATGTTGTAACCGTGATCAAACAACTTCTGAGCAACCAGGTATATTATGTATAGTTGTCAGCGTGTTCCAAAATGACAGTTACTGCATATAACTGTGTGTTTCTTCCTCTCTGTCAGATTTAGATTAGCTTTGTTGTTTATTCTCCTTCTCTGCCGCTGCAGCCAATTTAACTGAATTCGTATACTTTGTTTAATGATTTTAAAACTTTTACCCATAAAGAATCAGACGTTGTTGTCAGTGGTGTGGTGATGATTAAGAGTTGTTCAGTGTTGCAACCAGAGGCTATAACGTACAGTGGCCTCATTGAGTATGACACAACTACATATCTTAATTAAAAATATTAGAATTCCTTATTGTACTTTACTCATATGTTCTAATCCATATTTCTTCTTTGTGTTCTGTGTTCTATGGTCAGTTATTGTTGTGAATTTCAGTGAAAGAGTTTCCAGAATACCTTGTTCGTAATCCTTTTCAATATTAAGAGCAAATAAAGTCAACATAACAACTTTGCATATGTTGATACTTTAGGTCAGACTTAATCGCAAATGCTTGACCAAAATTAAATTTGGAAAATGGATATAGTGTAGTGGCAGACAATTCCTATTTTATTCAACAGTCTGAAGCATAATTATTATATTTTTTCAAGCATTTACCTGGACAATTTATTTTATTCCGATACAGTGCCATATTGGGTATGATAGAACACGGGTAGGGAGAGATCTTGAAATGCTTGAAAAACTAATTATTATGCTTCAGACTGTTGAATAAAATAGAAATTGTCTGCCACAATAAATACATCGTTGCAAGATGTTTCCTTTAAAGAAATGTTTAGCCTCATAGTTTTAATATTTTATAAATATCTGGTTTGGATGCTGTAGCTGAAAAGATATCTCGTCTTCAAACGAAATAAAACATCAGTAGTCGTACATGCAGCAAGAACAGAACGGTCTCTCTAAAGGTAACAATATACATGTAGATATATATTGCGATCACGTGATGTCTTTATTCTCATGGAGTAGGGTCTATAACTATATATACCCTCTGCTGCATAACCGACGTACCGTCAGAAACCACACGCAAAAAAAAACAATCCGCGAAACGTTCTATACTAGTGAATAATCGCTTCCAACTTGAGTATTGTTTAATTACTATAGCTTTTCACGTACATTATCGACATGTTCGGTCGAAGTGGGTAGGTATTGAGCAGCGCATGTGGAAGTATCGGTACAATTTACAGTTATTGATGTTCAACTGTAGATCAATGGATTGGGAATGATAAGGTTCAAGAGTACAATGTGCTTCTGTGGCGTTCACATGGGGTGCCGCCCATGTTGACTGAAAGATGTCATAGGCTCAAAATAATCACCACCGACCTTCATGCTGGTCTAAAGAGTCATATGTTCTTACAGCGCCATTGTACATTCAGCGATGCAGATATATAAATAACCATGCGGCATGTAGGCTTGGATGTCGGGAATTCGTAAATGTTACATAACCTGATTATGATGCTTGGTTGTTGGTTGTTTGTTGTTTAACGCCGCACTCAGCAATATTCCAGCTGTATGACGGCGGTCTATAAATAATCAAGTCTGGACCAAGTAATCCAGTGATTGGCATCATTGGCATCGATCCATGCAATTGGGATCGATCCCGTGGGTGCACACAGAACAAGGTTCTCTCTGTGTAAAACGTTGACAATACCATGGACAGATGTGTAACAAGAGACTCATTTCTTAATAAATATACCGCCCTAGGAAGTTGTACTTAATGTTGTTTGCCACTTTCTTGAGGAGAAATGAACACAAGATAACAATACCGTTAAAACCTCTGGCATATGATACTTAGCAAATTAGTCTCCGTCTGTTTAGGTTTCACCATGCTACGCTCAAATGTACAGAAGCTCTTGTAAGGTTCAATACCTTCTTTCCACAAAGCTACGTTGGCACTATGGTTTAAGTCTTTGTTAAAATGTGGGCGTTGTAATATAGTCCCTGGTACTTGTAGGTCGTGTGTACTTGTCCAACCTCAACTGGAGGAAAATATGTGATCACTGAAGCATATATTAGCTCAAATGTTCTATATACAACACTATCGGTCTTTCGGTTTGCACTGTGTAGGTCCTTTGATCAAATTCACCATAAATACTCTGAGACTATGTAAGAGACCTGAATGTTGATTTACTCCGCAATCAGCAATATTCATCTTTATCATATACTTCAGTGTGAAAGTTGAAGTAAGTAATAAAAACATAATAATTCCCTCGACACATGCAATATCCTCTACAAACCGCTGATGTCTGAATAATCGAGCTGTGTTTGGGTAAACCAGTGGTGGACAGTAGGAGCAACACTCAACACTCTCGTAGTACGCTGACATACAATTGCCAAGGTCATGCTTTGTCATATTTGGGATCATAATGGAGGCATAAGGCTATATATTTTTAATGGAGTTCAAGTTCTGCATCTGGTATACTCTTTTTACGTTAATCAGGAAATTACAATTCGTGAATAAATTTAAATAACATGAATGAAACCAGACATCTTTTAAACCTATGACACCTCTGTATGTAAACATTATGTGTTTGTTTTTATATTTATATTATTTGGCAATGTGTAAAAGTCTGTGAGGAAATAAAATACTCTTTGTTTTCAGAAGGTTTGGATTTGTTATTGTCATGTTTCAATATAGGCTTAAGACAAGCGTAACTCCCATATGTTATCATAAACCTACGACAGTCGAAGCACTAAGATCGCCTTGTCTTACGGATGTATTGTGCAAAAATGACAAAACATCAGGATTAAAAGAAAAATATATATTTATTTAGATTAGTCATGATGCAAAGAGACACTTTTTGCGCTATTTGGTAACCTGTTGGTGCTTTGATGATTAAATGGTAGAGAAACAAGTCGCATATCATGAGCTGAAACGTATACTGGTATTTAAGGGGCTCGATATGAACAACGACGTCGATATTGTTATTTCCCCACTGGGCGTTGGTACATACCCACATGAACTTTATTATACAGCCACCCGGCTGATTCAAATACCTGCGGTGTTGCATATTGTTTGTTTTATTTGTTTGTTGTTTAATGCTGCACTCAGCAATATTCCATCTATATGTGACGGCGGTCTGTAAATAATCGAGTCTGGACAAGACAATCCAGTCATTGACATCATGAGTATCGATCCTCACATTTGGGATACGATGACAAGCATCAACCAAGTCAGCGAGCCTGAGCACCCGATCCCGTTAGTCGCCTCTTACGACGAGTATATAATTGTCCTTTATGACAAGCATGCATGAGCTGCTGAAGACCTATTCTACCCGGATCTTCACGGGTCGCATTCAGTTGTAAACATGCACTGTGTAAGGTATTGATTCGCTGTATCGCTCTCAGTCACCTCTTGTTTCACAGACAAGTGTTGGAGCATGAATCTCCCTTTACTCCCGCCATGGTGTGTTCATGCCGTCCCGCTGAATGTACCTAGATTACAATAACAATACAACTATCAAAGATTCATATATCTTTTCGCAATTACTCATACTTTCGTTTCAATGGACTATTGATCTATAGTTGAAACAAAGTATAGCCTCAAATTGCTGAAACGTCGCATCACAATAATCACCTTTTCGTTCGGGCAATCTCGGGTGTGTGAGGTAGATTTACACCACTTGAACAATGTCTCGGTTGTACCACAGAGCGTCATGTCATGGCGCTTCATTTGGGAGGAAAGTGATGCAGGTTCACCGCTTTTGTGACCATGAAACCCACGACGATAGGTATGGTGCTGACAAACTATGCTGTAAGGAGGTGGTATTGACAGACAGGGATTCGAACCTATACCATTGTAAGAATATGCATGGGCGGATACAGAGGGTCGCGCACACACACACACACACACACACACACACACACACACACACACACACACTTTTTTTTCTTTTTATATCGAAAGAAATCTTTATTTCTGTATATATTACCACCAAAGACAATAAATAGATCTTAATTGTGCACACACACACACACACACACACACACACACACACACACACACAGCCTGAAAACTCTCCATTCATAATTTAAATGAGTGAGTGAGAGTGCATTTACGCCGCTTTTAGCAATATTCCAGCAACATAAAGGTATCGGACACCAGAAATGATCTTCATTGATGGTACCCTTGTGTGAGACATGGGACCCGGGTCTTCGGCAAACGCTTTAACCGCTTTCGGCTACCCCAAACAATTATTGATATTACAACATTATGTAAAGACTGCAGTATATATATATAGGGCATCTCACGGGCTATTATTTAGTGAATATCTTGTCTTCTTTACCAACTACTGCTTCCAATCCTAGTTATATTTTATAGGAAAATATTATGATAGCCGCACATTTTGTGCTTGCTTGAATTTCAGATACTTTCCAGGTATTAACAATTATTATGGTAAATCAATAGAAGTGATTAAGGTGGAAGAGTTTCCATGCAAACAAGAAGAACATTTGATTTTGTTGTATCTATTTATCACCTACATGACATCCTTGTACATCACATAAATGGTGTGTATCAACGGACAACTTTACAAATAAAGTAGAGTTCAAATACAACATGTTGATTCCTAATTATAATCGATTGGAATATTTGGGTGTGTTTATTAAATTATTTACTTTTTGGCATTTATAAAATAAAGTATTCCAAAAATTCCTTGGGGCTTTCCTCCAACATAAAGTTGGCATACTGTTAAAAGGCGGTGTAAAATGAGGCGTAGCCACGTGCATACACGTGTGTGTGTGTGCGTGCGTGCGTGCGTGCGTGCTTGCGTTCGTGCGTGTATGTGTGTGTGCTAGTCCGGACTCGTGCTAGCCCACTGAGATACCATGCCGCAGTTTAACACAAATACCATCTCAGACACAATATGTACAAAATCCTAGCCGACCAGTCCTTGTTTTATCCCCTTCTTTATCACTTGAAAAACATAACATTGCCACCTTTCACTAATCTTATACTCATTTGTACATGACTGCAATTGTGAAACACATTTCTGGTGCCACGCTGAGCCATGGTTTGAAAGCTGATGGCAGCCTAAAGCTACAGTCACTTGCAATATCTATAGGGGTGGCATATGTAATACAATATAGTTAGTGATACGTTCGATGAGTGTCTATATATTATGCGACAATGTATTGAGCGAAAGCTCAATAACTCGAACACCATTAACCATTAGCTGGCTTCAGGCGAGGAGCTGCATTAGACATGTGAGGCCCATTTCCTGATGCAGGATTAAATACGATTAGGCACTCCGAAATGAGAACTCTGTATGAGGCTGTGTCGTGCTGGCGCTGTGAGGAGCGGTTAGGTCAAATTTGTGGAACGTGTTTACTTGGTGAAAGGACAGAAATATTTATGGTATATATGAGCCTGTAAGCTGTTAGTGAATCACCACATTGACACGAGGTATTTGTTTCAAATATTACACGTTCACAGTTTCCATCGATGTATTCATAGCATTGCTTGGTGTACAGAATAAAAACACCCTTGCTGTATTCAACAGCTCAAGAACAGCACCTTAGCGGTAAATTCAAAATATGGATATTGACCCACAGGCGAAAGACTCCGGTCGAGTAGTCAGTGCTCTAGTTCAGCGACATGTGTCAAAACTTGTATAAGATCACTAGCCTACTGACATCGGTATGAATTTACACTCAAACTGCTTTGCCGGGCAGTTAATGACATTAGCTATCGCCGAATATGGCCAAACTTAATTTTCGATTGGATATTTTTCAATTGGCTATCTAGCTCTCTAGATCTAGACTAGGGTTACCAATTTTGAAAAAAAATAAATTATACATGCTAAATTATGATATTTTGGATAACTCGTCTGCGAGTTTGTTATTATTATCAGCTACAGGCTCCTGTGGTCAGTGTTATCATGGACCCGAAATCGTATTAAGTGTCCATGGTGTTATAGAGTATGCCACCCTGACTCCAAGTCAGAGAAGGATGTACATATTGCATGGATATCTATATGTAATTTGCTCGTCCTGCTTTAGATAAGTATTAGTAGTCTAGTCTCCATATCCAACATGACAGGGAAAAGATATTGTAGATCTAGTCTAGAGTTTCAGACCCTGCACAGGTCATATACATGTGTATCCCTGTCACATATTTGACAACTAAGTAATCATATTTGACAAGCTTATATATTATTCTTACAGTACAGGGGACCTGTAAAGATCCGTGGTAGAATAGGTCTTCAGCAACCCATGCTTGTAAGATGTGACTAACGAGATCGGGTGGTCAACCTCACTCACTTAGTTGATGCTTGTCATCATATCCCAATTGCTTTGATTGATGCTCATGATGTCAATCACTGGATTGTCTGGTCTGAAGTCATAAAGCTGGAAGCAGCGTTTAACAACAAACAAACAAACAAACCATACAGGGCCCTGTTCCACGAAGCGAACCCCCAATCCCCTAAAATAGATTAATTCCGAAAATATTGATTTCCTGAGTGTTGTTATCTCTTTTGTCATACAATGTCGTGTTTTGCACTGGTTTTTCAGAATGTTTATCGTCCAAACTTTATTAGCTCCATGTTGAAAGTCATTTGTAAGGTTTTTATAGATGAATCTGCCATTCTATATTACTTATCACTCGTGCCAGACTAATCACTAGAGCCGGCAATGACAAAATCCTACCTCGTGGAAAGACCAGATGTATTTAATGACAAGTCCTAACAGCATATGAATAAAAATAAGACAGCCCAAATAGGATCATAGTGTTTGCTCAGTTTAGTTGCTATATAAAACTTGGAGAAATCAGGTAATTTCATTTTGTCAGATTGAAAACTTGCACGACCTTTTAAAAAAACAAAAAATCAATACTAAAACCAGGAATATAGACTTTAACCGACATCAAACTTTTGATCTGGTCCCTAAGGATTTGCTAATGACGACATGAAGATCCGGGTTAGAAATGGTCTTCAGCAACCAATGCTTGTTGTAAAAGACGACTAACAGGACCTGGTGGTCAGGCTTGCTGACTTGGCTAACGTCTCCCAGTTGCGTAGGTCAAAGTATATGATCTCAATCTCAGGACTGTCTGGTGCAGACTTGATACAGACCACCGTAATATGACTGGAATATTGCGGTGCTATTAAAGTGTTCGTTTACCACACCTGGCACAGACCTGGGTTTATAACCTGATTAACCACATGGGTACAGTGAGCAGGGCCTTTACCCACAGTCCTCTTTGGTGACATTTGGATTAGTGCTGGAAGTAGCATCAATCTACTGAGATTTTGAACATTTGAAAGGCAGACTTTGGCCTTTTGGAACATATACTACATAAATATTCTCTATCAATAAGTCATTGTAAGCTTAGTGTCAATTAAAAATGACTTCAATGTGCTTGATTTTGTACTGAAGGAGACATATTACATATGTTATGATAAAATGCAGTTTTAGCAAAGGGAGGTAACTACAGAGCCATGTCTTAAGTTGTCTGATTAACAATTTCCTCCGCTACCAAAAAATCATTTCAAATCTGTAACAGGAAATAATAGTGTCAAAAAATATATTTACAGTTATTTTAATATTTTGGCTCTCAGATCAAGTTAAACCAATGAGTGATCAGCTACCATTCACATATGCAATAATCTATTATAAATCTTCAAAATTGTGATGAAAAGTATATCTGCATAATATCTAATGTTTCAAATGTTAAATCTCAATTTTGCTACCATATATTAGACGCTTATCATCGATCTCAACTAATCAGGTTCTTTTAATAATTATCAAACTTATCAAACTTAAAATTATTATTTAAACAAGAACTTTTGACATGCTGTAACGTAAATTCCTAACAACATACTAGATATTAGGAAACAGCATGATTATGATCAATGTTTGATTAGATGACGCAAACAGGTAATAATTAATGCTTGATAATGAAATCCAATCATTTCCAACGTTTATGAAGTTATCTAAATATTTTTCCACAGCTACACTTTCTAAGCCCAAGTAAAACATCCCTGAAACAAGATGGCTGCTGTGTCCGATGTCATGACAACAGTTGAAGCTAGCGCCGTGCTACAGATCAAGTAGGTTCATTAGAAACTGACTAGTTAGTAACCCAGACATGGACCAAGGTTCTAGAAAAGGAGGGGAGCATTTCATGATCACAAGATTTAAGTGTTGTATTACTTTAACACTTGATATACCCGATCACCTATAAACAGTGTCCGAAATAGCTGTGTGCTCGCTATCCCATACCGTGTAACAATTCTGTCTGGATAGGTGTAATTGATTCAGACCTCCGGGCTGTCTAGTAGAAATTTTCCTTGCTACTGACACTAGGGGTGAAACAACACAGGAAGGTCATGATACGATGCGTATGGTGATACACATATTTTCCTCAAATCTCATGGGAACTTCTTCACTATTAATATTTCAGAGCAGATTTAAAAGGAAAGGCTAGCTGTAGACACATGTAGCTGCTACTTTCAGTTGTGAACTTGAAACGCTATTTACATCGAATTTTGCAGTACTGCAAATCTTGAAATTAACGTGAGCGTGAATTAAATGCGACACATAAGTGGTCTTTGCTCGCATTATTAAACATCGCATTTATATCAACAATTAGACATTTTGGTTGGCAGAAATACCAACTTAGACAAAGATGATATGCTAAGAACAAACAACTATGTATTCCACATTACTGTTTATTGAGCAGCACTTGTAACAAGTATATAAAACAATGTCATTCAAGCACTCATTACATCCTGTAAATTGTCAGTGCTGGGTCCAAGACATGAGTTCTACTCACTAATGTCATCACTGATCACACCTCCAACACAGTGTCTTTGTCCTTTGCGACTGCATCAAAGGCCAACACGAACCAGCGAGCATGTATTGTTTTAGTGGAAGTACTCCACTCAGTGCTAATAAGCAGTGCATGGTGTGTGATTGGATTAATGTAAGGTTGGATTAAGGTGAGGACTCTCCTGTAAACCTGACAGAGGATATTTTCTTTAGCTGATCCACTGATGCTTGAGAGGAGGGGGCCCTAGGAAAATACCTAATTAAAACAAATCTTGTTAACCAAACATAACCCCCAAATAATCAAAACAAAACAAATTATAAAAAAACAACATAATAATTAATAAATAAACCAAAAAACTCACACGTCCCTTAGTCTATCCCCCCCCTCCCCCCCCCCCTTGGCATTCATTCCAAATCTCCAAATTTAAAAACTCCTATATAAGCAAAACCCCTAAATTCCCAAGAGCCCTTCCTAGAATTATCCCTGGGGGTCATTTAATGAGTAAATAATTTATTTTAGCAAGTGTATCGTCTTGTATCAATACAGCAAAAAAATGTATCATGTATCATATAGTCGCATGAAAACTCAGGAGGCACTTGTGTGCTGATGTATCATGTCACCCCTAACTGATACTGACAATTATGAATCAGACATTGACATGTGACTCACTTACCGGAAAGCGAGAGCTATACCTTTGTGATCATAAAAAACGTGTGTGTTGAAAGCACTGAGTAAAGTAAATCTGAGAAAATTGATAATGATTACCTACTGCAGCATGTAGATACAAATGCAGGCCTGCAACTTTCAAGACAGGCTGGTTACATTATTGAGTCACTAGCCACCTGTCTTGTTGGGAGTAAACCTTTCAATAATTACATTATGTCATTGTGAATTCTTCAGAAAGTGGGAGTGCGCGCCCCTACACCGTCCATGCACGACACATTCGAGGAGCTGCTGATATGGATGTGACCATTGTCTTAGTTCGTAGTTCTTAGAAATGGCTGCATTGCTTTAGGTGTTGATGATTACTTAAACTTACAGGTGCCTTGCATCAGTGCTACTTTATTTCTTGTGTATTCTTGTGGGTTTTGATTGCAGTCAGTTTAGATTTTATTTTGTTTTGTACATGTATTTCAGGGACAAATTGCCCAATGGATTCCTCATCAACCTTGTTGGCAAAATAACAGCAGTCAGTGAAATCTTCAGGTATGATAGCATGGTTTTGCTTTGACTATGTCATGTTTTTATACCAATTATGTAGGGCTGGGACGAGTCCAAATTTACTACCCAGGTACCCACCCCCCTATTACCTGACCCTACCCGGGTACCCACTGGATGTCTCAGGAGATGTCTCAAAATGTCGGATTGGGAATTTTTTTAGCATAGCCCTGGCAAAACGTATGTAGATACATGTATTAAACAATTAATCTGGTCATTCATACGCTGAAATTGAATTAAGTTATATCTTTATTCAACCATATGAAAAATCAGAAGTCATGCAGATGGGTGCTTAGTCCATGTAGTCGGGAAGAAATGCGAACATTACACTTGTAGTGACTTGTAGTATAACCATAGAGTTCTAGATAATTTTTGTCATTAAACAATATATCATGTGACTAACCAGGGGTCCGGGTAGTCCTGTGGGTACCCGGGTCCTACTCAGTACCCACCTGACACAGGTACCCATGTTACCCATCCCAGCCCTACAATAATGATCACATGATGTCAGCACCTGCTGGTGGGATATAGATTTGAAAGTATATGTGAACTGTGTTCACTGAAACTTGCCTTCGTTATTGTTTTCACTAACCCTCATTATGAACATGGTCACTGATCTCATTTGACATCACCAGCAAACACTACGGAGATTAAATCTGTAATCTGATGTATTCCATGCTGAAAACAATGCTTTAGGAGTATCTTAGATGCTAGACATTTCTTCACTTGTGCTTCAATTCGGTGAGTTGGGCAGGATATTTCTGATATTGTGAATGTTGTTTGACATAGTTGGAGGAGTTTTAGCTGCTTATTTTGATTCCTTTATTTTTCAGAGTGAAGAAGGATTTGATATTCTTGATTGAGATAGAGAACAGAATCAAGATTGTTGTGAAGGTAGCCATGTTTATGAACATTAGTATCTAGTATTTACACAGTTTTCACTTTATCAGTATTTGACTATCAAAGTGTGTTTGCTAGTATATCAATAAGTTTATGCTGTTTTTCGGGCCTTGGCATCAAAATATACTTTTTACCCAATTGTGCTGACGACACACCTGTTTTCAAATCTGATACTAGAGTGATGGTGATGTGTATTAACTGAATACACGTCCACCCACCTCACCAGGTCCATAATGCAGGTTCAGTGTCATAGTAGGAGAAATGGTCACTGCTCCTGTAGACCGTGGTAGACCACACTGTACAACAAACAGCTGTCCATGTGCCTGTTTAGTGAAACAAAGGGACATCATCATCATCATCATCATCATCATCAGAACAACAACAACAACAACAATAAACATAATGTAGTCATTCAAAACAATATAAGTCAGATATGTTTCAGATTTTTTCGGCTCGTTCATTTTGTTTGTTGTTAGTTGTCAGGACCAGGATCATACAATTATTTGAATAAAATTATTTTTTTAGGTCAGTCATCAGCTGGTCGTACATGGGCACACAAAGAAACAAGAAATTGATATGTATTCATATTGAAAATGTTAAATTCAAGATTGTTTTGTAATTTAAACTTTAATTAATTTCTAATAAATAAATGACACTTTAATATATAACAGCCCTGCTATTTATAGTCATTCAGTTTTTGCGACAGCAGTAGATGATTTTGAATTAATGTTTACCAAGCACTGTGGCTTATATTCCCATCATGACAGGAAATCCTGTAATGAGTTGTTATTGGAAAATGGACCTTGTTGTGAGGCAAAGATGTATGGGTTACAAAACAACAACTGAAACAGGTTCTTTCGTTCCAAGCCTTCCAACATCCATAATGCTGTCCCTCAACTTGCTCATGTTAAGGTCACCTTTAAGGTAATTGTGAATGGAATGGATATCAGTAATGTTCACATTTGCAGACAATTCTATACAACATTTGATTTTCATAAAGATGGACATAGTCTTTATCTCACGGACATGATATTTTCAGCAAAAGCAGTATCTTGTCTGGCAGGAGCAGATAACTCCGGAAGTTGAGTACATCGTTACAAACTTGAGAGCTACAACACTGCAGAAGGTAGCACATTTCTCAATATTTACAGACTATTCAGCTTGTGGACATCAGACTGTGATGTCAAATGATTAAATGTTTTCAAACTACCACTCTAAATGCTGCATCAAAAAGTACATTGATGCTCTTGTTGAGGTCCGCTGACGCTTTTGAGTGCATGGTATTACATTACTTCAATGGTCAGAATCAGAATGACTTTTGAAGTTATGATCCTCCGCACGAAGTGGAAGGGGATATAGGAATGGGCGTGTCCTTCCGTAGGTCTGTCTGTCCGCCATGTTTCGTTTCCGGAGCAGAACTAAAAAAACGTAAGAGATATCGTAACAAAACTTATCACATAGATAGGTCTATTGGAGAACTGGTGCCTTTTGATAGTTTGGGATTTTTGAAGAAATTATTTTTCACTTTTCCATGGCAATGACTTTGACTGAAAATGGCAGTATTGGTGGGGAATATGAGTATTTCATGCTTGTTTTGTTTTGTCTTATGTCTGGGCATATTCTGATAAGGAAATATTCTGTATAAACACATCCGTAGGGACTTTGAGTTGGAGTAGGTCCCTGCAGCCTATGCTGGTGGTGTGGTGTGACTTGTGTCAGGCTTTCCTGACGGCGCGGGATATTGCTCATCATATCAAGCACTGCTTTGTTTGGTTCAGATTTTGTCTTTACTGCCATTATATGGCTGGAATAATGCTGAGTGGCACATTAAACACCAAACATTTAACAAGCAGAAACTATATTCCATTTTATATGTCCCATTCATTCTTGTTTGCCAAGATTCTTTCACATTATTGTAGGAAAACATAATCTCCAAACTGTTTGCATTGATACCCTGTTATGAACTGATTCTTAAATGGAGCATTTTGATATATTATGGCTTGTTCCAAGTAGTCTTTACAATGAGACAGCTTCATAATATATTGAGACAAATGTTTTTGAATTCCATACTCACAATAGATGATACCTTTGCTGGGAGTGCCCATTTCTCTCCTATCATCAAACGGTGCAGGATGATATGACAGATTTTAAGATTTGCTTTCCTGTATTGTGTAGGACCCTGATGAGAACTTGTAATTCTTATGTTGAACCTAAAGATAGAAGATCACATATGGGTGCTTTAATGTGTTCATTCCAAGGTATTTCCTCTGTAGGGTTCGACTTCCCAGGTGAGGGTGTTCGTACCTTGGAGTAGAAGCTGCCTGTATCTTGCTGAGGCCATGGAGTACTGCCTAGTCACCCTCCAGGTACTGACAGTCCCCTCCATCACTCCCAAATCACCCTCCAGGTACTGACAGACCCCTCCATCTCTCCCCAGTCACCCTCCAGGTACTGACAGACCCCTCCATCTCTCCCCAGTCACCCTCCAAGTACTGACAGACCCCTCCATCACTCTCCAGTCACCCTTCAGGCACTGACAGACCCCTCCATCACTCCCCAGTCACCCTCCAGGTACTGACAGACCCCTCCATTACTCCCCAGTCACCCTCCAGGTACTGACAGACCCCTCCATTACTCCCCAGTCACCCTCCAGGCACTGACAGACCCCTCCATCACTCCCCAGTCACCCTCCAGGCACTGACAGACCCCTCCATCACTCCCATCACCCTCCATCTCTCCCGTCACCCTCCAGGCATTGACAGACCCCTCCATCCCTCCCGTCAACCCTCCAGATACTGACAGACCCCTCCATCTCTCCAGTCACCCTCCAGGCACTGACAGTCCCTCCATAACTCCCCAGTCACCCTCCAGGCACTGACATACCCCTCCATCACTCCCATCACCCTCCATCTCTCCCGTCACCCTCAAGGTACTGACAGACCCCTCCAACTCTCCAGTCACCCTCCAGGCACTGACAGTCCCTCATCTCTCCAGTCACCCTCCAGGCACTGACCGACCCCTCCATCACTCCCATCACCCTCCATCTCTCCCGTCACCCTCCAGGTACTGACAGACCCCTCCATCCCTCCCGTCACCCTCCAGGTACTGACAGATCCCTCCATCTCTCCTGTCACCCTCCAGGTACTGACAGATCCCTCCATCACTCCCCAGTCCCCCTCCAGGCACTGACAGACCCCTCCATTTCTCCCTTCACCCTCCAAGTACTGACAGACACCTCCATCTCTCCCGTCACCCTCCAGGTACTGACAGACCCCTCCATCCCTCCCGTCACCCTCCAGGCACTGACAGACCCCTCCATCACTCCCCAGTCACCCTCCATATCTCCCGTCACCCTCCATCACTCCCCAGTCACCCTCCATATCTCCCGTCACCCTCCATCACTCCCCAGTCACCCTCCAGGCACTGACAGACCCCTCCATCTCTCCCGTCACCCTCCAGGCACTGACAGACCCCTCCATCTCTCCCATCACCCTCCATCCCTCCCCAGTCACCCTCCATCCCTCCCGTCACCCTCCAGGTACTGACAGACCCCTCCATCTCTCACATCACCCTCCATCCCTCCCCAGTCACCCTCCATCCCTCCCGTCACCCTCCAGGCACATACAGACCCCTCCATCACTCCCAAGTCACCCTCCATATCTCCCGTCACCCTCCATCACTCCCCAGTCACCCTCCAGGTACTGACAGACCCCTCCATCTCTCCCGTCACCCTCCAGGCACATACAGACCCCTCCATCACTCCCCAGTCACCCTCCATATCTCCCGTCACCCTCCATCACTCCCCAGTCACCCTCCAGGTACTGACAGACCCCTCCATCTCTCCCGTCACCCTCCAGGCACTGACAGACCCCTCCATCTCTCCCGTCACCCTCCAGGCACTGACAGACCCCTCCATCACTCCCATCACCCTCCATCTCTCCCGTCACCCTCCAGGCATTGACAGACCCCTCCATCCCTCCCGTCAACCCTCCAGATACTGACAGACCCCTCCATCTCTCCAGTCACCCTCCAGGCACTGACAGTCCCTCCATAACTCCCCAGTCACCCTCCAGGCACTGACATACCCCTCCATCACTCCCATCACCCTCCATCTCTCCCGTCACCCTCAAGGTACTGACAGACCCCTCCATCTCTCCCGTCACCCTCCAGGCACTGACAGACCCCTCCATCTCTCCCATCACCCTCCATCCCTCCCCAGTCACCCTCCATCCCTCCTGTCACCCTCCAGGTACTGACAGACCCCTCCATCTCTCACATCACCCTCCATCCCTCCCCAGTCACCCTCCATCCCTCCCGTCACCCTCCAGGCACATACAGACCCCTCCATCACTCCCAAGTCACCCTCCATATCTCCCGTCACCCTCCATCACTCCCCAGTCACCCTCCAGGTACTGACAGACCCCTCCATCTCTCCCGTCACCCTCCAGGCACATACAGACCCCTCCATCACTCCCCAGTCACCCTCCATATCTCCCGTCACCCTCCATCACTCCCCAGTCACCCTCCAGGTACTGACAGACCCCTCCATCTCTCCCGTCACCCTCCAGGCACTGACAGACCCCTCCATCTCTCCCGTCACCCTCCAGGCACTGACAGACCCCTCCATCACTCCCATCACCCTCCATCTCTCCCGTCACCCTCCAGGCATTGACAGACCCCTCCATCCCTCCCGTCAACCCTCCAGATACTGACAGACCCCTCCATCTCTCCAGTCACCCTCCAGGCACTGACAGTCCCTCCATAACTCCCCAGTCACCCTCCAGGCACTGACATACCCCTCCATCACTCCCATCACCCTCCATCTCTCCCGTCACCCTCAAGGTACTGACAGACCCCTCCAACTCTCCAGTCACCCTCCAGGCACTGACAGTCCCTCATCTCTCCAGTCACCCTCCAGGCACTGACCGACCCCTCCATCACTCCCATCACCCTCCATCTCTCCCGTCACCCTCCAGGTACTGACAGACCCCTCCATCCCTCCCGTCACCCTCCAGGTACTGACAGATCCCTCCATCTCTCCTGTCACCCTCCAGGTACTGACAGATCCCTCCATCACTCCCCAGTCCCCCTCCAGGCACTGACAGACCCCTCCATTTCTCCCTTCACCCTCCAAGTACTGACAGACACCTCCATCTCTCCCGTCACCCTCCAGGTACTGACAGACCCCTCCATCCCTCCCGTCACCCTCCAGGCACTGACAGACCCCTCCATCACTCCCCAGTCACCCTCCATATCTCCCGTCACCCTCCATCACTCCCCAGTCACCCTCCATATCTCCCGTCACCCTCCATCACTCCCCAGTCACCCTCCAGGCACTGACAGACCCCTCCATCTCTCCCGTCACCCTCCAGGCACTGACAGACCCCTCCATCTCTCCCATCACCCTCCATCCCTCCCCAGTCACCCTCCATCCCTCCCGTCACCCTCCAGGTACTGACAGACCCCTCCATCTCTCACATCACCCTCCATCCCTCCCCAGTCACCCTCCATCCCTCCCGTCACCCTCCAGGCACATACAGACCCCTCCATCACTCCCCAGTCACCCTCCATATCTCCCGTCACCCTCCATCACTCCCCAGTCACCCTCCAGGTACTGACAGACCCCTCCATCTCTCCCGTCACCCTCCAGGCACATACAGACCCCTCCATCACTCCCCAGTCACCCTCCATATCTCCCGTCACCCTCCATCACTCCCCAGTCACCCTCCAGGTACTGACAGACCCCTCCATCTCTCCCGTCACCCTCCAGGCACTGACAGACCCCTCCATCTCTCCCGTCACCCTCCAGGCACTGACAGACCCCTCCATCTCTCCCGTCACCCTCCATCTCTCCCGTCACCCTCCATCACTCCCCAGTCACCCTCCAGGTACTGACAGACCCCTCCATCTCTCCTGTCACCCTCCAGGTACTGACAGACCCCTCCATCTCTCCCGTCACCCTCCAGGTACTGACAGACCCCTCCATCACTCCCCAGTCACCCTCCAGGTACTGACAGACCCCTCCATCTCTCCTGTCACCCTCCAGGTACTGACAGATCCCTCCATCACTCCCCAGTCCCCCTCCAGGCACTGACAGACCCCTCCATTTCTCCCTTCACCCTCCAAGTACTGACAGACACCTCCATCTCTCCCGTCACCCTCCAGGTACTGACAGACCCCTCCATCTCTCCAGTCACCCTCCAGGCACTGACAGACCCCCCCTCCATCACTAACCAGTAACCCTCCATCACTCCCCAGTCACCCTGCCATCTCTCCCCAGTCACTCCCTGACGGACCCCTCCAATTCCAGGTAATCAAGCCCCTTCATGAGTGAAATACTGTTAAAAGTGATGTTGATCTAATTTCATTCACTCACTTTCTAGTTTGTTTTATACTGAATATAAGGCCACAGAAGGCTCTATTTTGGATTGAAATGATGGAAGATGTATGAGTGTTGAAGCTTTCTGAGATTTGCATTTGTTACTTCTCCCTTGATCACACTTATCATACTCATCACTGAAATGATATATGACACAGATTGTATTGTATGGCTACTACAGATGCCATTAGGTAGATACTACATGGTGCTGTATATAGCTTACATCTCCAGTGCCGTTTTATATATCCAGTACATCCTATTTGCATTGATGTTGGTTTTTATGAAACTGATTTTGTTGCTTATCAAGGACTGGCTTCACAGCAGGAGCATCATACTGCCAGAACCAATTCCAGCTGAGACGTCGACCGGCGTCTCACCAGCAGGGGACAACTTTGTGGCATATCAGGTGGGCTGTCATACACACCCTGATACAAATATATCCAATAAAGCCCAAGTCTATAATGTTTGGCAAGTCTAGATTACTGCAGTATCAGGGTATCTGAAAATGAAGAGAGTTTCTGGGCTCCCATTTATTTTATTTTTATTTAGATAATTTAACAACTGTTTTTTTTCTGTAACATATGTTCCTTTCAGAGACTAGATGTTAGTCTAGCTTTAACTCAGACAAGAGCCTGACTAGGATGTGACTAGACTGCAGTGATCCTTGGCACTGCTCCACACATTTGCCGCCGTGGTAGAACATACATGTATTGCCTCTGAACTGGACAATGTTTGTCAATGTATATCATTTATTGTTTACAGCAATAAGTGGTCTTTGCAACAAAACCCGGAGATTCTTGTGTTGTATATTTCAATTTGTAGCTGAGCATATTAGACCAAGCCCAATATTACGGGACTTGTGCTACACTGAAATCTTGTTTACTGAAGATTCTGAGGATTGTCTCACATATATATGTTATCCTTTGTATGAAGCAAGTAGTGCGTCAGTGTTGGCAGTGTTTAAAATACAAATTAATTCCAGCCAGTCTGGCAAGGCTGTCTCTGCAGTGGGGCAGACACATAGTTTAAACCTGTTGATGGTAGGCATGACTACCAATAAAGATTCGGCCGAAACCATCATATTACATTGTTGTAAATAATATATATTCAGTTAATGGCATTCACCATGTCCCCTACTTGATGGCATTCACCATCTTCCCCAGTTCATGGCATTCACCATGTTCCCTAGATCATGGCATTCACCATGTTCCCTAGTTCATGGCATTCACCATGTTCCCTAGTTCATGGCATTCACCATGTTCCCTAGTTCATGGCATTCACCATCTTCCCTAGTTCATGGCATTCACCATCTTCCCTAGTTCATGGCATTCACCATCTTCCCTAGTTCATGGCATTCACCATGTTTCCTTGTTCATGGCATTCACCATGTTTCCTTGTTCATGGCATTCACCATCTTCCCTAGTTCATGGCATTCACCATCTTCCCTAGTTCATGGCATTCACCATGTTCCCTTGTTAATGGCATTCACCATCTTCCCCAGTTTATGGCATTCACCATCTTCCCTAGTTCATGGCATTCACCATCTTCCCTAGTTCATGGCATTCACCATGTTCCCTAGTTCATGGCATTCACCATCTTCCCTAGTTCATGGCATTCACCATGTTTCCTTGTTCATGGCATTCACCATGTTCCCTTGTTCATGGCATTCACCATGTTCCCTTGTTAATGGCATTCACCATCTTCCCTAGTTCATGGCATTCACCATCTTCCCTAGTTCATGGCATTCACCATCTTCCCTAGTTCATGGCATTCGCCATCTTCCCTAGTTCATGGCATTCGCCATCTTCCCTAGTTCATGGCATTCACCATGGTTCCTTGTTCATGGCATTCACCATGGTTCCTTGTTCATGGCATTCACCATGTTCCCTAGTTCATGGCATTCACCATCTTCCCTAGTTCATGGCATTCACCTTCTTCCCTAGTTCATGGCATTCACCATCTTCCCTAGTTCATGGCATTCACCATCTTCCCTAGTTCATGGCATTCACCATCTTCCCTAGTTCATGGCATTCACCATCTTCCCTAGTTCATGGCATTCACCATGTTTCCTTGTTAATGGCATTCACCATGTTTCCTTGTTCATGGCATTCACCATGTTCCCTAGTTCATGGCATTCACCATCTTCCCTAGTTCATGGCATTCACCATGTTCCTTAGTTCATGGCATTCACCATGTTTCCTTGTTCATGGCATTCACCATGTTTCCTTGTTCATGGCATTCACCATGTTTCCTTGTTCATGGCATTCACCATGTTCCCTAGTTCATGGCATTCACCATCTTCCCTAGTTCATGGCATTCACCATGTTTCCTTGTTCATGGCATTCACCATGTTTCCTTGTCCATGGCATTCACCATGTTTCCTTGTTCATGGCATTCACCATGTTTCCTTGTTAATGGCATTCACCATCTTCCCTAGTTCATGGCATTCACCATGTTTCCTTGTTCATGGCATTCACCATGTTTCCTTGTTCATGGCATTCACCATGTTTCCTTGTTCATGGCATTCACCATCTTCCCCAGTTTATGGCATTCACCATGTTTCCTTGTTCATGGCATTCACCATGTTCCCTAGTTCATGGCATTCACCATCTTCCCTAGTTCATGGCATTCACCATGTTCCCTAGTTCATGGCATTCACCATCTTCCCTAGTTCATGGCATTCACCATCTTCCCTAGTTCATGGCATTCACCATCTTCCCTAGTTCATGGCATTCACCATGTTTCCTTGTTCTTGGCATTCACCATGTTTCCTTGTTCATGGCATTCACCATGTTTCCTTGTTCATGGCATTCACCATGTTTCCTTGTTCATGGCATTCACCATGTTCTCTAGTTCATGGCATTCACCATGTTCCCTTGTTCATGGCATTCACCATGTTCACTATGTTAGATACCAGTGAAACTTGGCCTTGGTTTGAAGACTATGTTAGATACCAGTGAAACTTGGCCTTGGTTTGAAGACGATGTTAGATGCCAGTGAAACCTGGCCTTGGTTTGAAGACTATGTTAGATACCAGTGAAACCTGGCCTTGGTTTGAAGACTATGTTAGATACCAGTGAAACTTGGCCTTGGTTTGAAGTCTTAGTTAGATACCAGTGAAACTTGGCCTTGGTTTGAAGACTATGTTAGATACCAGTGAAACTTGGCCTTGGTTTGAAGACTGTTAGATACCAGTGAAACTTGGCCATGGTTTGAAGACTATGTTAGATACCAGTGAAACTGGTGTATAGTTGAAGGTTGTGTGTTCCAGGGAGTTGTGACCAGCTGTGACCGGTCTAGTGTGGGGATATTTGAACTGGACCACCGAGTCAGGTAAGTGTCTCCAGTGTAGCACCTGTATGTAATAGTTTGTGTGTTATAAATGTTTTCATGACGCAAGCTATACTCACCCACTGTTTGTCTAGCCTGTACGTGACGTGTGTGCCGGCCTCTCATCGGTTCACAGCCCTCACCCTCGGTACAAAGATCATTGTCTACAATGCTCACAGGAAAGGCTTTGCAAAGGTAAAACCAATTCTTTATTAGGTATCAGTCATTGGGTATCACTTATTAATATACTGGTGACCATGGAGACTAAGTAAATTTCTGTGTGTAACCAAAGGCATACTTTGGTGTTACATTAACAACTACATTTAATAACTATCTATGTGCTGTAAGATTTGTTATGAGACTAATTTTTCTCAATGTCATTAAGGGGCGGTCTGGTAGCCTTGTGGTTACAGCACGTCACGCCGAAGACCCGGGTTTGATTCCCGACATTGGTACAATGTTTGAACCCCATTTCTGGTGTCCCCCTACCGTGTTGTTGCTGGATTATGCTAAAAGCGGAGTAAAACCAGACTCACTCACTCATTCACTCAATGTTATTTAAATCAGATCATTTACTCCAATATGACGCCTCTCTACAGTTAGATCTGAGGACACCTCGTCGAGTCACATGAAATTGCCGATCAGCCAATCGCTATCAAGGCTTCTAGATTCCTTGTACAAATAAACGAACCATTCAGACCAGCATATCTGATTTCTGTACTTCATAAAAGAGCTAAAAACCTTTCCCAAATGTACATAATGCTATATTTTTGTAAAAATTGACCACCCTGTCATTCCTGAGCTCTGCAGTGTCTGCATCTAAAAGGGAGCCCCGTCAAAGGCATATTTGTGTCCTGCATGAAATTTGGTGGGAAAGAAATGCAGCTTGATCTTTGCTGACGTCTGATTGGCTCAAGAATCCTTTCATCCTGAAATTAGACCATTCATTCATGGTTCACCTGACGGGACGATCTGTGCAGGTGTCCTTACATCTTAATGAGATGAGATGATTATTTTCTTACCGTATTTCATGCTATGTGTTCTTCACATCAAATCTAAATATCTTATTGGCCAGTCACTGTCTTGTACAACCACAAGCCCCCAAGATCCGCCTGTTCTGTTGTATGGCCAGTTGTATCTGACTGACGATGTTGTATGCTCTACCCAGGCCCCCAAGATCCGCCTGTTCTGTTGTATGGCCAGCTGTATCTGACTGACAATGTTGTATGATGTCCCCAGGCCCCCAAGATCCGCCTGTTCTCTTGTATGGCCAGCTGTATCTGACTGACAATGTTGTATGCTCTACCCAGGCCCCCAAGATCCGCCTGTTCTGTTGTATGGCCAGCTGTATCTGACTGACAATGTTGTATGATGTCCCCAGACCCCCAAGATCTGCCTGTTCTGTTGTATGGCCAGCTGTATCTGACTGACAATGTTGTATAATGTCCCCAGACCCCCAAGATCTGCCTGTTCTGTTGTATGGCCAGCTGTATCTGACTGACAATGTTGTATGATGTCCCCAGACCCCCAAGATCTGCCTGTTCTGTTGTATGGCCAGCTGTATCTGACTGACAATGTTGTATGCTCTACCCAGGCCCCCAAGATCCGCCTGTTCTGTTGTATGGCCAGCTGTATCTGACTGACAATGTTGTATAATGTCCCCAGACCCCCAAGATCTGCCTGTTCTGTTGTATGGCCAGCTGTATCTGACTGACAATGTTGTATGATGTCCCCAGACCCCCAAGATCTGCCTGTTCTGTTGTATGGCCAGCTGTATCTGACTGACAATGTTGTATGCTCTACCCAGGCCCCCAAGATCCGCCTGTTCTGTTGTATGGCCAGCTGTATCTGACTGACAATGTTGTATGATGTCCCCAGACCCCCAAGATCTGCCTGTTCTGTTGCATGGCCAGCTGTATCTGACTGACAATGTTTTATGATGTCCCCAGACCCCCAAGATCCGCCTGTTCTGTTGTATGGCCAGCTGTATCTGACTGACAATGTTGTATGCTCTACCCAGACCCCCAAGATCCGCCTGTTCTGTTGTATGGCCAGCTGTATCTGACTGACAATGTTGTATGCTCTACCCAGACCCCCAAGATCCGCCTGATCTGTTGTATGGCCAGCTGTATCTGACTGACAATGTTGTATGCTCTACCCAGGCCCCCAAGATCTGCCTGTTCTGTTGTATGGCCAGCTGTATCTGACTGACAATGTTGTATAATGTCCCCAGACCCCCAAGATCTGCCTGTTCTGTTGTATGGCCAGCTGTATCTGACTGACAATGTTGTATGCTCTACCCAGGCCCCCAAGATCCGCCTGTTCTGTTGTATGGCCAGCTGTATCTGACTGACAATGTTGTATGATGTCCCCAGACCCCCAAGATCTGCCTGTTCTGTTGTATGGCCAGCTGTATCTGACTGACAATGTTGTATGCTCTACCCAGGCCCCCAAGATCTGCCTGTTCTGTTGTATGGCCAGCTGTATCTGACTGACAATGTTGTATGCTCTACCCAGTCCCCCAAGATCCGCCTGTTCTGTTGTATGGCCAGCTGTATCTGACTGACAATGTTGTATGATGTCCCCAGACCCCCAAGATCTGCCTGTTCTGTTGTATGGCCAGCTGTATCTGACTGACAATGTTGTATGATGTCCCAAGACCCCCAAGATCCGCCTGTTCTGTTGTATGGCCAGCTGTATCTGACTGACAATGTTGTATGATGTCCCCAGGCCCCCAAGATCTGCCTGTTCTGTTGTATGGCCAGCTGTATTTGACTGACAATGTTTTATGCTCTACCCAGGCCCCCAAGATCCGCCTGTTCTGTTGTATGGCCAGCTGTATCTGACTGACAATGTTGTATGCTCTACCCAGACCCCCAAGATCCGCCTGTTCTGTTGTATGGCCAGCTGTATCTGACTGACACTGTTGTATGCTCTACCCAGGCCCCCAAGATCCGCCTGTTCTGTTGTATGGCCAGCTATATCTGTCTGACAATGTTGTATGATGTCCCAAGACCCCCAAGATCTGCCTGTTCTGTTGTATGGCCAGCTGTATCTGACTGACAATGTTGTATGATGTCCCAAGACCCCCAAGATCTGCCTGTTCTGTTGTATGGCCAGCTGTATCTGACTGACAATGTTGTATGATGTCCCAAGACCCCCAAGATCCGCCTGTTCTGTTGTATGGCCAGCTGTATCTGACTGACAATGTTGTATGATGAACCCAGACCCCCAAGATCCGCCTGTTCTGTTGTATGGCCAGCTGTATCTGACTGACAATGTTGTATGATGTCCCCAGACCCCCAAGATCCGCCTGTTCTGTTGTATGGCCAGCTATATCTGTCTGACAATGTTGTATGATGTCCCAAGACCCCCAAGATCTGCCTGTTCTGTTGTATGGCCAGCTGTATCTGACTGACAATGTTGTATGATGTCCCAAGACCCCCAAGATCCGCCTGTTCTGTTGTATGGCCAGTTGTATCTGACTGACAATGTTGTATGCTCTACCCAGGCCCCCAAGATCCGCCTGTTCTGTTGTATGGCCAGCTGTATCTGACTGACAATGTTGTATGATGTCCCCAGACCCCCAAGATCTGCCTGTTCTGTTGTATGGCCAGCTGTATCTGACTGACAATGTTGTATGCTCTACCCAGGCCCCCAAGATCCGCCTGTTCTGTTGTATGGCCAGCTGTATCTGACTGACAATGTTGTATGATGTCCCCAGACCCCCAAGATCTGCCTGTTCTGTTGTATGGCCAGCTGTATCTGACTGACAATGTTTTATGATGTCCCAAGACCCCCAAGATCTGCCTGTTCTGTTGTATGGCCAGCTGTATCTGACTGACAATGTTGTATGCTCTACCCAGGCCCCCAAGATCCGCCTGTTCTGTTGTGTGGCCACCTGTATCCGAGTTGTGGAGGCAGGGAAGGAACAATCCTCTAACAAGCAGGTGAGTGGTCCACAGGTGATTGACAGCTATAAGCAGGTTCCAGCATCTGATGTGTGTGTCTGTGTTCTAGTTCTCTGCCAACAGTCTGGCACACCTGATGTGTGTGTTTGTGTTCTAGTTCTCTGCCAACAGTCTGGCAACACCTGATGTGTGTGTTTGTGTTCTAGTTCTCCGCCAACAGTCTGGCAACACCTGATGTGTGTGTCTGTGTTCTAGTTCTCTGCCAACAGTCTGGCATCACCTGATGTGTGTGTTTGTGTTCTAGTTCTCAGCCAACAGTCTGGAAGCATCTGATGTGTGTGTTTGTGTTCTAGTTCTCCGCCAACTGTCTGGCAGCACCTGATGTGTGTGTTTGTGTTCTAGTTCTCCTCCAACAGTCTGGCAGCACCTGATGTGTGTGTTTGTGTTCTAGTTCTCAGCCAACAGTCTGGCAGCATCTGATGTGTGTGTCTGTGTTCTAGTTCTCCACCAACAGTCTGGCAGCATCTGATGTGTGTATTTGTGTTCTAGTTCTCAGCCAACAGTCTGGCAGCATCTGATGTGTGTGTTTGTGTTCTAGTTCTCAGCCAACAGTCTGGCAGCACCTGATGTGTGTGTCTGTGTTCTAGTTCTCCTCCAACAGTCTGGCAGCACCTGATGTGTGTGTCTGTGTTCTAGTTCTCTGCCAACAGTCTGGCATCACCTGATGTGTGTGTTTGTGTTCTAGTTCTCTGCCAACTGTCTGGCAGCACCTGATGTGTGTGTTTGTGTTCTAGTCCTCAGCCAACAGTCTGGCAGCATCTGATGTGTGTGTTTGTGTTCTAGTTCTCCGCCAACTGTCTGGCAGCACCTGATGTGTGTGTTTGTGTTCTAGTTCTCCTCCAACAGTCTGACAGCACCTGATGTGTGTGTTTGTGTTCTAGTTCTCAGCCAACAGTCTGGCAGCATCTGATGTGTGTGTCTGTGTTCTAGTTCTCCACCAACAGTCTGGCGGCATCTGATGTGTGTATTTGTGTTCTAGTTCTCAGCCAACAGTCTGGCAGCATCTGATGTGTGTGTTTGTGTTCTAGTTCTCAGCCAACAGTCTGGCAGCATCTGATGTGTGTGTTTGTGTTCTAGTTCTCTACCAACAGTCTGGCAGCATCTGATGTGTGTGTTTGTGTTCTAGTTCTCCGCCAACACTCTGGCAGCACCTGATGTGTGTCTGTGTTCTAGTTCTCCGCCAACAGTCTGGCAGCATCTGATGTGTGTGTTTGTGTTCTAGTTCTCTGCCAACAGTCTGGCATCACCTGATGTGTGTGTTTGTGTTCTAGTTCTCCGCCAACAGTCTGGCATCACCTGATGTGTGTGTCTGTGTTCTAGTTCTCCTCCAACAGTCTGGCAGCACCTGATGTGTGTGTTTGTGTTCTAGTTCTCCACCAACAGTCTGGCAGCACCTGATGTGTGTGTTTGTGTTCTAGTTCTCCACCAACAGTCTGGCAGCATCTGATGTGTGTGTTTGTGTTCTAGTTCTCTGCCAACAATCTGGCAGCACCTGATGTGTGTGTCTGTGTTCTAGTTCTCCCCCAACAGTCTGGCAGCACCTGATGTGTGTGTTTGTTTTCTAGTTCTCCTCCAACAGTCTGGCAGCACCTGATGTGTGTCTGTGTTCTAGTTCTCCACCAACAGTCTGGCAGCATCTGATGTGTGTGTTTGTGTTCTAGTTCTCTGCCAACAGTCTGGCAGCACCTGATGTGTGTGTTTGTGTTCTAGTTCTCCGCCAACAGTCTGGCAGCACCTGATGTGTGTGTGAGTGTTCTAGTTCTCCTCCAACAGTCTGGCAGCATCTGATGTGTGTGTCTGTGTTCTAGTTCTCCTCCAACAGTCTAGCAGCATCTGATGTGTGTGTTTGTGTTCTAGTTCTCCGCCAACAGTCTAGCAGCATCTGATGTGTGTGTCTGTGTTCTAGTTCTCCCCCAACAGTCTGGCAGCATCTGATGTTAGTCTGTGTTCTAGTTCTCCGCCAACAGTCTGGCAGCATCTGATGTGTGTGTTTGTGTTCTAGTTCTCCACCAACAGTCTGGCAGCACCTGATGTGTGTCTGTGTTCTAGTTCTCCACCAACAGTCTGGCAGCACCTGATGTGTGTGTTTGTGTTCTAGTTCTCCGCGAACAGTCTGGCAGCATGTGATGTGTGTGTTTGTGTTCTAGTTCTCTGCCAACAGTCTGGCAGCACCTGATGTGTGTGTCTGTGTTCTAGTTCTCTGCCAACAGTCTGGCAGCATCTGATGTGTGTGTCTGTGTTCTAGTTCTCCACCAACAGTCTGGCAGCACCTGATGTGTGTCTGTGTTCTAGTTCTCCGCCAACAGTCTGGCAGCACCTGATGTGTGTTTGTGTTCTAGTTCTCCGCCAACAGTCTGGCAGCACCTGATGTGTGTGTTTGTGTTCTAGTTCTCCACCAACAGTCTGGCAGCACCTGATGTGTGTGTCTGTGTTCTAGTTCTCCACCAACAGTCTGGCAGCACCTGATGTGTGTGTTTGTGTTCTAGTTCTCCTCCAACAGTCTGGCAGCATCTGATGTGTGTGTTTGTGTTCTAGTTCTCCTCCAACAGTCTGGCAGCACCTGATGTGTGTGTTTGTGTTCTAGTTCTCTGCCAACAGTCTGGCAGCATCTGATGTGTGTGTTTGTGTTCTAGTTCTCTGCCAACAGTCTGGCAGCACCTGATGTGTGTGTCTGTGTTCTAGTTCTCCGCCAACAGTCTGGCAGCACCTGATGTGTGTGTCTGTGTTTTAGTTCTCCGCCAACAGTCTGGCAGCACCTGATGTGTGTGTCTGTGTTCTAGTTCTCCGCCAACAGTCTGGCAGCACCTGATGTGTGTGTCTGTGTTCTAGTTCTCCGACAACAGTCTGGCAGCACCTGATGTGTGTGTTTGTGTTCTAGTTCTCTGCCAACAGTCTGGCAGCACCTGATGTGTGTGTTTGTGTTCTAGTTCTCCACCAACAGTCTGGCAGCATCTGATGTGTGTGTTTGTGTTCTAGTTCTCTGCCAACAGTCTGGCAGCACCTGATGTGTGTGTTTGTGTTCTAGTTCTCTGCCAACAGTCTGGCAGCATCTGATGTGTGTGTCTCTGTTCTAGTTCTCCACCAACAGTCTGGCAGCACCTGATGTGTGTGTTTGTGTTCTAGTTCTCCGCCAACAGTCTGGCATCACCTGATGTGTGTGTTTGTGTTCTAGTTCTCCGCCATCAGTCTGGCAGCACCTGATGTGTGTGTCTGTGTTCTAGTTCTCCACCAACAGTCTGGCAGCACCTGATTGTGTGTGTCTGTGGTCTAGTTCTCCTCCAACAGTCTGGCATCCCCTGATGTGTGTGTTTGTGTTCTAGTTCTCCACCAACAGTCTGGCAGCACCTGATGTGTGTGTCTGTGTTCTAGTTCTCCACCAACAGTCTGGCATCACCTGATGTGTGTGTTTGTGTTCTAGTTCTCCGCCAACAGTCTGGCAGCACCTGATGTGTGTGTCTGTGTTCTAGTTCTCCGCCAACAGTCTGGCATCACCTGATGTGTGTGTTTGTGTTCTAGTTCTCCTCCAACAGTCTGGCAGCACCTGATGTGTGTGTTTGTGTTCTAGTTCTCCGCCAACAGTCTGGCATCACCTGATGTGTGTGTTTGTGTTCTAGTTCTCTGCCAACAGTCTGGCAGCACCTGATGTGTGTGTTTGTGTTCTAGTTCTCTGCCAACAGTCTGGCAGCACCTGATGTGTGTGTTTGTGTTCTAGTTCTCCGCCAACAGTCTGGCAGCACCTGATGTGTGTGTCTGTGGTCTAGTTCTCTTCCAACAGTCTGGCAGCATCTGATGTGTGTGTCTGTGTTCTAGTTCTCTGCCAACAGTCTGGCAGCACCTGATGTGTGTGTTTGTGTTCTAGTTCTCTACCAACAGTCTGGCAGCATCTGATGTGTGTGTCTGTGTTCTAGTTCTCTGCCAACAGTCTGGCAGCATCTGATGTGTGTGTCTGTGTTCTAGTTCTCTGCCAACAGTCTGGCAGCATCTGATGTGTGTGTCTGTGTTCTAGTTCTCCGCCAACAGTCTGGCAGCACCTGATGCGTGTGTTTGTGTTCTAGTTCTCCACCAACAGTCTGGCAGCACCTGATTTGTGTGTCTGTCGTCTAGTTCTCTGCCAACAGTCTGGCAGCACCTGATGTGTGTGTCTGTGTTCTAGTTCTCTGCCAACAGTCTGGCAGCATCTGATGTGTGTGTTTGTGTTCTAGTTCTCAGCCAACAGTCTGGCAGCACCTGATGTGTATGTTTGTGTTCTAGTTCTCTGCCAACAGTCTGGCAACACCTGATGTGTGTGTCTGTGTTCTAGTTCTCCTCCAACAGTCTGGCAGCATCTGATGTGTGTGTTTGTGTTCTAGTTCTCCTCCAACAGTCTGGCAGCACCTGATGTGTGTGTTTGTGTTCTAGTTCTCTTCCAACAGTCCAGCAGCACCTGATGTGTTTGTCTGTGTTCTAGTTCTCCACCAACAGTCTGGCATCATCTGATGTGTGTGTTTGTGTTCTAGTTCTCAGCCAACAGTCTGGCAGCACCTGATGTGTATGTTTGTGTTCTAGTTCTCTGCCAACAGTCTGGCAACACCTGATGTGTGTGTCTGTGTTCTAGTTCTCCTCCAACAGTCTGGCAGCATCTGATGTGTGTGTTTGTGTTCTAGTTCTCCTCCAACAGTCTGGCAGCACCTGATGTGTGTGTTTGTGTTCTAGTTCTCTGCCAACAGTCTGGCAGCACCTGATGTGTGTGTCTGTGTTCTAGTTCTCTGCCAACAGTCTGGCAGCACCTGATGTGTGTGTCTGTGTTCTAGTTCTCTGCCAACAGTCTGGCAGCATCTGATGTGTGTGTTTGTGTTCTAGTTCTCTGCCAACAGTCTGGCAGCATCTGATGTGTGTGTCTGTGTTCTAGTTCTCTGCCAACAGTCTGGCAGCATCTGATGTTAGTCTGTGTTCTAGTTCTCTGCCAACAGTCTGGCAGCATCTGATGTGTGTGTTTGTGT